CCACTGGAGGCCTGAACATGTCATCGCAGTCCTTCCCGTTTGAGGGGCGCAAGGTCCACAGGCGACGTGCGCCAAAGCTGGCCGAGCTGTTGAAGGGAGTGGCGAAGGGAGATACCTCGCCGAAGCAAAGCAGAAAGAAACCCAGTTAGGGTGTCATTTTGCAGCATACCTGGCATACCCATGCTTGGCTTGCTTTAAAGCACATGCAAAGGACACACAGTCATGTTGCGGGTTCCCAAATTTCGAGACAAGCCCAGTTGTTCTATCATCACAATTCAAAGCCCGTACGGACACACGACTCTGGGGACGCCACGAACATTGTTCAACATACTCTGTGCGGGGCCATGGGCGAGAAAAAAAAGCACATCCACTCGCTGGTGATAGAAGCCCTCCAAAGATGCTCCAGCCAAAACCGTTGAGCCCACCGATCGAGACCGACGTTCGGTTTACCCACGAAGCCGTCCTCCCAAACTCCAAGGTGGGAAGTGCGAGAAGCAGTGAAGCAGTTTTCAATCAAAAACCCGCCTCGAATCATTTCCTCGTCCACTGCAAGGTGTTGAAGGCTCTCCAACCTGGCTGTCTCTTGTGTCTTGAGGCTCAGGCGCCTGTCAAGGAAGGAATGGAACATCCCTTGCGATTCCAAGGAGGGAACAGATTCCCTTGGTACTGTGGATGGACGAAATTCGTTCGCACCACTTTGAAACCATGGGAAACCATAACGTTGTTGGTATTGCACAGGGGAATCATCATTCCACGGTTTCTTAGGTGGTGAGAAATGGATTTCGTCCACAATATTTCACACTTCCGGGAGGGCGGGTTCAAAGGTCCCGATGACTTTGCGGATACTCGGCTTGGTCTCTGTGTGCAAGGCTTATCTCCAATTGAGACCCTCGGGCTGGGCCAATTCCAAGGCTGCGCAGCTGGACCTCTGCGCCCGTCCTGCTCCACTTCTTGAGGTAGGATCGCCCAGATTTCTCAGCGCTTCGGGGACTCGTCGAGGAGCTGCCTCGGAAAGCCGAAAGCTCCCTCCCGCACACCCCAATCCCACAGCCAAAAAAAAACAGACATGGCTGTGGGTCAAAACCCATGGTCCAATGTTGGGGTCGGTGCACCGCCCATTTTAGTCTATTTTAATGGGGATTGGGATGTTCACTGGGGTACGGGAGTTTCACCCCTGGCCACATATCGACAAAGGCATTAACATGTTGCTGCTGAATGGGCCCATTGGTTTAGAGGATTTCAGCCTCGAGCCGAGGTAGGGCCTGGTCTAAGCCCACAACACGTGCCACATCCACGGGGCCACATCCGCAGAAATGGGAGAACCTTGAGGGGTAAGGGAGGGGGGTAAGGGAGGGGGGGTTGCAGAGACCTGTGCATATATAATGGCTCACTTCATGAGCGGACGAAAGTGCCGCCTTTTCGCCACTAAAATGCTCCTCCCAAAAGTATCAAGTCCAGCCCAGGAGAGAGACCCGGGTTTTGCTGGTGGCTTGCCCAGGTCTTCGACAAAAACCACTGGGTCCAACGCGACATCCGCAAACTTACCCTGGGTTGAAGAGAAACTTTCCAAAATCTAGTTTAGAAAATGCTCCAAATGTTTACTTGAGGGACCCAGCTGGGCTCATTCATGCTACTGCGGCCGTCCGCTGGAATTGTAAGCCCACTCCGAAAGCTGGCCCAAAGCATCCATCAACTTGATTCGGCTGGACGAACACGGCGGTATTTGGCTCTGTACGTCTTCTTTGGGGTTCTTGACAGCAAGATTTAACTCACGGAAAATTTGGAGCTGAGCCAGCTACCGAAAGTGGGCATTCGGCCCCTTCAGGGTTGCATTTACTTCCGCTTAGAAACTCAGCCATGCCAAGAGGAACCTTTTGCGTTAATACACAAAACATGGCAACACACATGCAATTGCCCCTGGAAAAACAACGTGCAAAACAACACACAGAATCAAAACACAGAAAACATTTGCAAAGCAAACACTGAACAAAAAAGCATCATGTCCGTTAAAGAACAGCAACAGGGCAGCTAGGAAAACTACACATAGGGTGCGCAGGGCAACAAAAGAACAGAATACCCAGGGCTCGCAAAGCAAATGACAAGCGAAACCGCGGAAGAAACAAGCAGAAACGCAAAGCACTGTCATTGGGGAACATGCGGCTGAACTTGGCAATTGGGCAAAGCTCCCGGCTCTGGTCACAACACAACTCAGGCTGGGAGCTAAGAGGAGCTTTCCGGGGCCGCAGTCCAGCAGCGGATTTCGCTCCGTTTGTTGGAGCCGACCCCACCGACGTCGCGAAATATTCGACGTGTTTTTCTGCCTTGGCTTCTTCGCTTTCTGTTGGCTTTCTTGAAGTTGTTTTCCACTTGTTTTTCTAGGAGACACGTTTAATTGCTTCTTTCTTGCTTTTCCATTTTTCCATGAAAGGCACTCAGATTGCCTAAAGCAAGCTCATACGCGAGGGAAACTCACCTTAAACTGGCCGCACAAGTGTGAAAGCCATATGAGCGACTTTTGCCCCGCGCCTTCGCCGCTGGCGTCGGAGCTGATCTCGCCGCATTCCAGCGGGCTGAGTGTCTCCACGGTAGCTGCATGTCCTGGCTCCAACAAGCCCTAGTGGTTCAACGGGCAGTTTTTTTTGTGAGTGTGCCGCAAAATGCTGGACACCGCAGGACCCAGTTGGTCTCGGGTTCCCCTTACAACCCCAAAAAGGTTACGCTCTTTCCCTGATTCGGGATCTGGGCGCGTCTCGTTTGAAATGCTGTCTGCTTATTAGATGCACTTGGTGGTACCTTGAAACGTTTTGGCCTTGCTTCGCTCGAATCGGTTTTTAATGGTCACATTGAGCACGAGCTGGTGTCCAGCCTTAACCTCTTGCATGAAAGCTTGCAGGCGAATACTGTTGACTGTTGACCCCTATTACTCAACCCCTGTCTATCAATAGGGGGGTGCCCCTGGGTTTAGCGGGGAATCATCACTTTTGGAGAGGAGCACCCCCTGTTTATAAACTGGGTTTCCACATATTGTGGATCCAATTCCAAAATGGACGCCTGTTTGGTTGACTTGGCTGTTCCCCTGCGGTCCCTAGACTTTCAGACTTTTGGAGTTTGAAAGGACCTTGTTTAAAAGGTTCATGCCACATCCTGAAGCAAATTGAGTCAACCTCGTATCCAAGCAACACAATTCAGGACAACTTGGCGAGCTCACGGGATATCTTTCGGGAGCAAATTCCCGTAAGTAAGCCTCAACTAGCACGCAGACATGCAGACTCGCAAACACACAGACGCACGCACAAACACTCACACACCCACACCCACACACACACACATACCAACACAAACACACAAACACCCAACCACCCAAACACACAAACACCCAAACGCACACAAACAAACACACACACACACAGAGAAACACACAAACTCACAGACGCACAAACGCAGAAGCGCAGAACCGCACAAACACACAAACACGCAAACACACAAACACACACAAACGCACACACACACACACAAACGCTCACACACACACACGCAATCACACAACCACACAAACACAGTCGAAAAGGCACTGACGCAGGCAGACGCACACGCGCACACCCACACGCAAACGCGGGCGCGCACACGCTCGCACACACGCTCGCGCGCACGCACGCACGCACGCACAGACGCACCCATGCGCGCGCGCACACACACACACACACACACACACACACACACACACACACACACACACACACACACACACACACACACACACACACACACACACACACACACACACACACACACACACACACACACACACACACACACACACACACACACACACACACACACACACACACACACACACACACACACACACACACACACACACACACACACACACACACACACACACACACACACACACACACACACACACACACACACACACACACACACACACACACACACACACACACACACACACACACACACACACACACACACACACACACACACACACACACACACACATCTGACTGTCCTTGGGCGCGAGCCAGGAAAAGTTTAGTAGAACCCATTTGGCACGCACGCACCCGCTCACACATGCACGCATGCACGCACGCACTGCGCGCCCGCGCCCGCACGCAGACGCGCAAACGACACAGGCACACAGGCACACCGGCACAGCGGCACACAGGCACACAGGCACACAGGCACACACGCGCACGCACTCACGCGCGTGCGCAGGCAAGCGGGCACGCAGGCACGCAGAAACGCAGGCACACACACACACATGCACTCAAACACAGAAACGCACACAGAGACACAAACACAAACACTGACACACGCACGCACGCACGCACGCGCACACACACACACACATACACACACGCTCAGACACACTCAGACACACTCACACACGCGCACACACACACACAGACCCGCGCACGCACGCACGCACGCACACAAGCACTCAGACACACTGCAGGAAATGCAATGCTCTGCGCTCCTTCTTCTTCTTGTTTCGCCATAATATCTATCACTTGCACTGCGTCAAGTTCCAGGGCCTCGATGGAGTCGCGACACCATAATCCTGCAGTGAGGCTGCTGACAAGGTTTGGTCAAAGACTGCCACCTGATTTCTTCGATGGTGGGAGCTAGCTTTTCACACTCGCATGGGCGATGCGAGCTTCGCACAAGGCACTCCAAAGAGATCTCAGCAGATCTGCTGTCCTGAAGATGGTACGTCTGCCTTCGCTGACTCTGCTGACAGAGACCGCCCATTGCGGGAGGGCTGGGACCCCATTACTACAGCAGCTCAGTCAGCCAAGTCTATTGGCCTAGCTGCAAAAACATCTGCTGACACGTCAAGACCACTCCTTGTCGTGACAAGCCTGTCACATGTCTCATGCCTGGCCATGGCAATGGTGTCTTCTCCGTTGACCAACCCCAAGCAACCAGGTCGTTTCATCGTGTGACCATGGGCTTGCCCGGCAAAAGCACAAAGCCTGGCGCCACTTGCACACTGCGCAAGGGGAAGTCCAGCGTCTTCATCGCCTCCACAACGGCAGACATGGTCTTCAATTTGAACATCCCGTGAAGCCAAAGTAGAACATCCCCTTGACTACTGGAGCACTTCAAAGGGGCCTCCCCATGTCCTTAGTGTCGCAGAAACTTGTACAACATGTGTTCCGCAACCGTGATTCGGGACTCCCTTTGACAGGCACTTAGATTCTGCCCGACGTTCAGGGGAAGCCTACTTGCAAACATTTTGCAGACTGGGTCATTCTTTTCGTTGAGCAATAAACCTCAACACTTTGTACAAAACAATCATCTTCAACAGGCAAATGAGCAGAAGGTTATCGGCGCTGGTTTGTTGTTTGTGTTGGCATTTAGACGCTGGTCACCTCATCGCAGTCGCCGACAATTCCAGCTTATGCCCTGGACGATGTGAGCCGCGCTAGAGGGACAGGTGGAGTTTTGTTCTTATTCTTTGCGCTGAACGTGATCATCATTATGCATTAACTACTATGACTCGCCAACCTGACTTGAGAAATCCCTAAGGAGCAGACCTTCTTCATCCAAACACAGATACACAAACAAACAAACACACAGACACAAACAAACAAACAAACACACAGACACACAAACACACAAACACACAAACACACAAACACACAAACACACAGACACACAGACACACATACACACAAACACACAAACACACAGACACACAGACACACAGACACACAGACACACAGACACACAGACACACAGACACACAGACACACAGACACACAGACACACAGACAGACACACAGACACACAGACACACAGACACACAGACACACAGACACACAGACACACAGACACACAGACACACAGACACACAGACACACAGACACACAGACACACAGACACACAGACACACAGACACACAGACACACACACACACACACAGACACACAGACAGACACACAGACACACAGACACACAGACACACAGACACACAGACACACAGACACACAGACACACAAACACAACACAACACACACACACAAACAAACACACACAAACACACAACACAAACACACAAACACACACACAGACACACAGACACACAGACACACAGACACACAGACACACAGACACACAGACACACAGACACACAGACACACAGACACACAGACACACACACACACACACAGACACACAGACACACACACACACACACAGACACACACACAACACACACACACACACACACACACAGACACACAAACAAACAGACACACACAGACACACACAACACACACAACACACACAACACACACAACACACACAACACACACAACACACACAACACACACAAACACACACAACACACACAACACAACACAACACACAAACACACAAACACACAAACACACAAACACACAAACACACAAACACACAAACACACAAACACACAAACACACAAACACACAAACACACAAACACACAAACACACAAACAAACAAACAAACACACACACACACAAAAAAAAACAAACAAACAAACAAACAAACAAACAAACAATCAGACAGACACACAAACACACAAACACACAAACACACAAACACACCCGCACATACAAACACCCGCAGAAACACACAGGTAGCCAACATGTAAGTTGGGTGACCCTGGACTCTGCCAAGAAATTGGTTTTTGCAACACACTCTCGTCCTGAGCCATCAGAACCCCGTGTGTTGCCCGTACAGGTCCCAAGTTCTGCCAGCGGATTTTCCGCCTTGGGGAAATGCCCAGAGCACAGCGCCACATAACGCTTCGTCACCTCCGACGCGGCAAGAACGACCGGCGGAACGTTCATTCGGGTGTGTGTGTTTCTGAGAGCATCCTTTTTCGGGCCGGTTTAAAGGGAAACCAAAAGGACACTCACCATATTGATCTGAAAGCCAACCGGAACCTTCATTTGACCGGAGTGTCAATGAAACGATTGGACCAAAAGGGTTGGTGCAAAGGAACACCATACAATGTTCCATTTGAAATAACGCTTGGAATTCTTTGAGAGACATTCGAAGGAAACCATGTTCGGTTTGAAAACAGCATGACGTAGACTGTATCACGTGAGTCATAATCAAAACCCGGTACTACAATAGTCCACCCAGAACTTCTGGCCCAGAACCATGTAAAGAAGTAAGAAGGCGAATATCTGCAGCATTTCTTATGCTTGGGATTGTCCCTTACCCGGATCATCAGGGATCCTTACATTGTAAACCTGATCATTGCCTTGTAAATGGTAGGCGTCCCTTTATTTTGGTGGAAACAGCCACGTGTTTCAAATGGTTGCAACATGTATTTCTTTCCAGGAGCCCTGCTCATCCATCCCCGGGTTTTGATTGCATCCAGGCCTCCGCCAGCCCCAAAGAATGCACTGCTGGCCGGTGAGCTTTGCGTGGTTGGGGAGTCAGTTCCTCATTTCGCACTGTTTAAAAAGCATGGCTCCTTGACAAGATTTACATCCAAAGGTCAAACAGTTGATCCACTTTGCGCAAAAGAGACATTGACCACACTTTTCCCCCCTGCTTCAGGCTTCAGATTCGGCTAGCCACATTGCATACCTCGTTCACTTGCAGCCATCTCTAACTTTGGCGCTGCGATTGAAATTCTGGCAGCTGCTTCAGGTGTGGCTCAAAATCGGGAAACGCCGAAATGGACTGGTTGCCTTTCGCTTCCCAAGCCACAGCACCCCAACAAGAGGTATCCTCAAAACCACACCCCAGTACTGCACCCCGAGTGGATAGCTCATGCAGAAGGGTTGATCCAAAGACCTGATCGGCTGGGTAGACATTTGGTCGCCAAAGGACCAAAACTCAATCAGAAGGGACCCCTAATCAATGTTTGGCTTCACTTTGGTTTCCCTGCACACCAGCCCCAAAAGGGTCCTTCACCTCCAAAGAGGACACCAAACTGCTGAAAGCTTGTGGTTTCAACTTCCGGGTCCTCCCAGGGTCCCACTGGCCTGGGACAACTCTATGGCTTCCACCCCGAAACCACCTCAAGAAGTTCAAATGGGCTGGGAATGAACCCAGGGCCCCCCTTGAAGGACACCACCAGTTGGATGGTTTATAAGGGTCATTCCAATTCTCATTCCCCGCCTATCGGACTATCGCAGCAAGTTCAAACCTGTTTCAAAGAAAACCACCCACTGCAGAACACTCAAGAAAACACCATGGAGAAAAACGCACACACCCTGTTTCAAGAAAAAGCAACTTTTTTAAAGACCACTCCCCTCTTTTTTACCGGCCATGCCAAAAAAAACAACAACACACACACACACACACATGGCCCCACTCGGCAATTTCACTCCCAGCTCTCCGGGGCCCCCTCTCTCCGCGCGTTGAACTCCAGCTTTGCCCCGTAGTAGCCCAGGTAAGTCCTCCCCAGGCGACTTTCAGATGGGTCCCATTTTTTGGAGGGACCTGTGTCACAGCACTGTACATCTAGGGGTAGCTTCCCCCATTCTTTCCAAAACTCCTTTCCAGGAAACCATCAAAGACCCAGGGGAAACAGCCGGTTTTTGAAAAGAACGATGGTTGAAAAGAATGGGGAATCAACCCCTAGAGTACAGGGGAAACAAGCAAGCAACTAATTTGGAGGTCTATCTTAAGATGAGCACATCGTCAAGTTCATTTAGGGGCCCCTTGGTGGACGCCATTCATGCATAGCCCACGTTGAACTCCTGCTCCAGTCGATAAGTTGTTTGTCTCCATAGGGATTCATCGTGCCCAGGCGGGTACACCATGCGAAGACGGCTGTACGCCAGAGTCTGGAATCCCTGCAAACAGTTGGTTTCACGTTCGTTGGGTCCTTCGAAACACGTGAATCAAACAACATCATGCAAAATCAAACAACAAACAAGTGACCGTACTTACCTCCAGTAGATATGGGAAAAAGGGCACCCTGAAACTGTTGGCAAGTGATGTTGAAGGGTAAGCCCTCCCAAAACCGAGGAAACAGGGCACCGCTGCGGTGACGGACGACACACATCCCATAGCTCTAGGCAACAACTCGTGATAGCGAGTGAGCGAACGACGAACAGAAAGTAAATCCACACTCCCAATGACCAGTCGTGGCAATTGAATGCAGGTTCCGTATGGGGTCATGAACCTGGCGAATGAACAGGTGCAACTGACCAACATTTGGTTCGGCTCCCTCCCCCCACAAAGGGAGCACGTCCTTATCAGTCAGTCAGGCGGAATCCCGGCCTGGAAGATTTTGCTTTGGAATCACCCTAGTCGGCCGCGTAAAACCTCACCCCCACCCGTCTTGGCGTGCAGCAGCAAGCCCGAGGTATTGCGATCCAAGCGGTGCACGAAGCCTCAGGGACGTTCAGTGAAATCCTCAGTCCCCTTCTGATGCATTTGCAGAGAAGCATTGGCCTGATCATGCCTCATCATGTGAATGGCACTTTGATTGAGCTCAGCGCCACAATGCTTAGAGGATACTTTTTGGCAGGGCTCCTTAAAAGATAAATCTTGGCCATTCACCCCATGAGAGACTCCATGTCGAGGATTACTCCATGTGAGGATTACTTTCTCTGGGTTGCTCCAGACCCCACTGAGCCAAAGGTCGATCACCTTTTTCTAGGTTTAATGCAACAGCCGAATGGTTCCAAAAGGTCTCAGGGGCCATTCGGTCTCAGCGAAATCCTTCTGTGTGCGTGACCCTCTTGGGTTTCATATCCTCCATTTCCTCAAGTCCCCTGGAATAAAAAACCACACCTCCGGCCAGCTAGTGACAGCTTCCCCTTTAAAAGCATCATAGTGAGGCGATGTGAACATCCTTTGGAAGCCACCAGCTTTTTTTGTTGCGGAACCAGCTGCGGATGTGTCTGATCCGGGCTCGCTACCATGCTCCGCCAACTCATCTCCGGCCAGCTGCCCCTAACTCGTGGAACCAAAAGCTAAGAAGGGGGGGGGGTCTCATGGGGTTGTCTCTAAATGGGGGAGCATGGGAAATCCCTAAAAACGGTGGTTGTCTATTTTGTTTCTCGCTTGAAACGATCTGAAAAGGGGGTACCTTCAGGGGAAAAAACAACATACATTCATATGTGTGTCAAGAGGGCATGGGAAGTTTAGTCAATGTTGGTCTGTGTTGTTTTTGTGTATCCTGTTCTGGGGGGTGGTTTTAAAGGAACACAAAGGGAAAACACGTTGTATATGTTTTTAATATGTTGTTTTGCTTTTCTGCTTGCTTTTTCTTTTCTTTTCTTTTCATTTCTGTTTTTTAGGGGGAGGGGAGGGGGGGGCGGGGGGGGGGGGGGGGGGGGCGGGGGCGGGCTATTTTTGCTTCCCCTTTTCTTGCTGGTTCTGAGAAGGGTTTCGGGAACAGTACCCTAAGAAAGATATGTTGAACATCCCCTACCAACTAGTCTCAAACATCCTTCAAACATAGGTTCTCAAAATCTGGGCCTAATATAAAGGCGGAAGAACTACTAACAATATTGTCCTGCGGGCTTGACAGAAATTGCTTGTATGCACACCACAACAACATTATCATGATCTAGCCCCTTACAGTTCAACTCCCGCTAAAGGGTTGCTACAACCCCAAGATCAAAAGGGGTAACCGTGACACAACTATGTCCCCGCTTTCGCACTGAACGTCATGGCCGAAAGGCAAGGCTTATTGATGCCTGGATGAGCCAGCCGGAACGGACAGGGCACTAGGGAAGCTTTGGGCAAAGGAGGCTCAGTCACGTGGACAATTCTTGACCATGGTGGACTGATGGCCCTGAGTTTATGTTAACCTAGGTTTTTGGACATTCATTTTGGCGTTACTGCGGATGGACGAAATCCTGTACCAGTTGGGATGGAGGAAGCCCTATGAATACTGGAAAAAACAACACCTACAAACTGGTGCAGGATGTTGTCTTCACAGCGTGTTGCTGGCCATCCCCCAGCAACCACCAAGCTCGATCTTTTTGACCATGTACGCAGGTAACCTTGGTTTAGCCCTTTCCAAACAGATCTTCCGGTTTCAACCATTGCCTGAGCTGTGGAAAGATCCCTCAAAAAACTGAGCCAACCCCCGCCCCCAACCCTCACAAACGGGTTTCCTGGTGTCCTACGCCCATTGGTGCTTTCCCCCAGCGAGAGTCTCCGTGGCTTAGCTGCATTGATGCTTCTTGCTGGGTGTAACTCAAATGGCTAAGTTCGCCATTCAGAAGGAACTCGCTTCAAGATCCTTTTGACTGGGTCCAATTCTGAATACCAAGCTGGCTGAGTGCTCGCCCAACCGACCCCAGTCGTGGTACTCCAGGACCCAAGCTCCCTGTTGCCGAAGAGCAGCCAAGCGCACGGAGCCCAAGCTGGGGGGAGCCGGGTCTTCAAGACCAGGCTGTAGGAGCTCAAGCTGCCAAGACATCCTACGTCCGGATGCCAGGCGAGCCGTGTCTTCGATCACCATGGCACTGTCTTCCATCAAAAGGACAAGCTGAGCCTCGCACAAGGTCCTGAGCTGCGCCAAGCGCATTTGCTTCACCGTGACGGGGGCGGTAAATGCGCATTCTCCAAGCGCAAGCTCTTGGACACTTCGGGCATGGCAGCCTTCTGTAGCCCATCTGAAAAATTGACCTATTGACAAAAATATTGTTTGGCCCCCAGCGAATATTTATTCATTCGGGGCACATGTAGGATTCTATTAGGTGGAAGCGATTCATCTTGAGAACCCTCAACATGCTCACTTGATTGCTGCCAGGTGACATGCTCATACATGCGCATGTGGAAGCAACAAATGGGGGCCACTGATCCTGCACTTTTTTGTATTATGGCTCACGCATGCAGGAATGCATGCATGCATGCATGCAATGCATTAAAATGCATTAATACATACCTTTCATTGCTGCATCGCATGCATGTTTTGATCTTGCTTGCTTCATTTCGTTCACCGAACATCTACTAGTGGAAGAAACATCAAACTTGGCATGCATAACATCTGCCTTGTGCAAAAGTTGGCTGCGATTCTCGCAAGTCCAGGTGGGTGCATGGCGCCACCTTCCTTCCCTTATATAAGGCGCTGGTGAAGCAAAACCGTTGAATCGGACTAAGGCGATCCGGTTGCAAAGGCTCCGGCTTCCAAACGTGTAACACTTTGGAACCTATGCATGTTGGAAAACACCAACTCAGACTGCAGCGACACATTTTGGCCAAAAGCAAGCTCTCTTCAACCCTTCAACCCCAGCTTGCCATCCCATTCGGGCCTGGATCCAACGATCCATGCGCCTGCGCTTTCAATGGCACGGGATGAATCGATCGATCGAGTGGCTTGTTGAATGGTTGAGGTGTGTTGAACGATTAGGTTCCATAAATGGATCATCAGCTTTGGCTTCAAGTTTGTGCAACCATTGCTGGCGGAGTAATTCTGAACCCCTGTTGGCGGACCTCGAGTGGAACACGTTAAGGGCGGAAGGAGGATTTGGCCTGCGTGAATTACTCCGCTGCCGCCTTCCGCTGTGTGAGTGCCCATCATCTCTGATCAAGATGGCCCAGACTCGTTCTCGGGTTTCGGCTTATATACTATCTGGCAGGGTGTCAATTTGGCCCTCAGGCGCCTACCCAGTCAACTGTTAAAAAAACACCAGCCACTTCAAGAACTCAAAGCAAACCACATCCGAGCACTGTGCATCAGGCTCGGTGATCACCCGTTTCAAGGGGGGGACTCAAACAAGGGCTTAAAGACTCACAGGCAAACACACGATTCAATCATGATTTGTTTGTGATCATGACTTGGATTGCCTTTGAAATACCCCACCACCCCATTGAGGCTCTGTAGTACCTTGTAGTACTGTTGGACGAAATCCATTTCGCACCACCTAAGAAACTGTGGAATGATATGATTCCCCTGTGCAATACCAAGAAACAATGGTTTCTCATGGTTTCAAAGTGGTGCAGGGTGTCGTCCATCCACAGTATTTCAGGCAAACATGCACGCTAACAAACCTTGTTGTCAAAGGTCAGTACAGCTCAACTTTCCTTGAACCACCGCTACCCAAACCTCCAGTCGTCACAGCAAAAGGGGCACCCGCGCGAAAAGACCGTCCCCCCGACATTTGGCAGCTGATGGTCCGCGAAGGCTTCAGTGCCCCAAGTGATCATATGTTTACGGCGCACTTCCTGGGTGGATTGCCCAAGTCCGAACTTTTGGTTTGCCGTCAACATGGTCTGTTCATGTCTTTTCAAAGTGCTTTAAGTGCAGAAATTGAGAAAGCAAAACAACAGCAGGTCAAGTTGATCACGCATATATATATATATGCAATATATAATACTAATAATGATAATAATAATAAGAACAAAAATAATAATAATAATAATAACAATAACAATAACAATAACAAAAATAATAATAATAAGAATAACAAGAATAAGAATAAGAATAGGAATAGGAATAAGAATAAGACTAATAATAATAAATAAATGAATAATAAATAAAAAATAAATAATAATAAATAATAAATAATAATAAATAATAAATAATAATACATAGAAATAAATAATAATAACTAATATAATAATAATAGCAATAGTAATAATAATAATAACAATAATAATAATAATAATAAATAATAATAATAATAATAATAATAATAATAATAGTAATAATAATAATAATAATAATAATAGTAATAATAATAATAATAATAATAATAATAATAATAATAATAATAATAATAATAATAATAATAATAATAAATATATATATATATTGTATACATGCGTGGGCACAAACAATGCACACGCACCCTCAATCTACCAAACATCCTTATGTGGCACAACGTGCCATTTTTTGATGGGCCACATTTGCGCCACCCGATCTAACACACCTACTTGCTACCCTCAAAACATACCGCTGTATAGAATCACGGTGTGTGGAATTGTGCTATGTCCAACCCATGCCAAGAGCCGTCCTGACGGGCTTGGGAAAATGCTGGAAAACCAGTTGCAAACTGGGTTCAAAATGGCGGGAACCCTACTCCAGTGGGCGATCTGGCACAAGGATCTAGGGGATTGATTTGGAACGCCAAGCAATCTGCAGCCCCGCCTGGCGTCACTCCCGCCGACCACCGCCTCAGCCGGCGTCAAACATGCTCTTCTTGAAAAGCCAAGTTGAGGAACTTGCACTGAGACTGCTACGCTTGACCGGATTTGGCAGAACTGACTTACTCCTTGGTTCGCACGTGATTATTCAAGCCATGGGAACATGGATGCAGGTGCTTGCCTTGGCTTCTCAGACTGGAAGGAATGCAGCTGATTGCAAACTGTTGGTAGACCAAGTAGAAACATCCATTGATCCTTCAATTTCAGCATGGCCCGCCGCACGCAACCATGAGACTAGAGATGCGTTCTGCCCACCCGCCAATGTGAAAACAACTTGCCACAGGCGTTTGTGAGTGCAATGTCCTACTGCCCCAATTCTTCGCATGGATGAAACTGTATGAGTGGGATAAACCACTAACTGGTGCAGGATTTCGTCCATCACAGCGGTAAAGCTGCAATTCCCGGACACCTTCGCCCGACCGGTCTTCAGCAACTACATCTTACAGCTGTCTGCAAATCTTGCAATGGGCCCGCCTCGCTCGAAACCAGCGAAAAGCTTAGGCAAAAGCTAAAATCATGAGGCGAACAGCTCAGGGGAGCCTGGTGGAAAACATTTGACTGACTCCTGGAGTCGCCATATTTGACTAGAGGCAAGTCAACTGCTGTCGGTCGCCGGCGTTTGCGTGGGCTCCTTTGTTGGCTCCGAGTGGCTGCGCGCGCTTTCGGCTTCGCTCATGCAGCAGGCGGAACAAAAATCTTTCGGCTAGAAATACTGACAGAGGCTCCTCAACCTGGCGAATATCGCATGACACGCTAGTGGGGTCATCCCTATCACTACTTTGTCACTTTGAAGGGGATCCTCTTCGTATCAGAGAAAAAAGGGACTCGCTAGAAAAAAATCTCCCCACGGCGGTCTTCCCATTGTATGGGCTTGCCTGAGCTGCCTAAAAGTTCAAAGTTTAGACGCTTCGGAAGTGAGACACAAGGAATCATCAAATAGCACAAAGAGGACCTATGACCTAAGGCCACATTTCCCACAATGAAAAAACTTGGGAAACAATTATAGCATAAACCAGCGCAACAAGGACCTCAAGTCGACGTCGACCATGCTCATGGATCAAACTCGGAATCAAAACACAAAACACGCTTTTTCCATTTCTCGGTTGCCGCGCCCAGGCAGGTGGCTTGTAAATGAGCTGAAGGTGCTGGCTCTGCCATAGGACCGCTGGGTCCTGCGAACAACTGACCATCGAATCATAGAATTTGGCTGGGTTGCTTGACTATGTTCATTTAGCATGCGGCATGGATGTGAATTCGGGACCCGAAATGGAGGACATGATTCAGGTGGGGATTCATGTCCACCAACCAATTGTGAGGCGTTCCTCAGCAAAAAATCATAGCCATATAAAACTGACCTCTGCTGGGTTGCATGTGGGTGTGTCTCCAAATGGGGGAACCCGCTATAGCTGAATTCCTTTGGTTTCCTGTTAAAAAAAAGCACATGTTCGCGCTCCCTACGCACACACACCAACTCTCCAGGACCCACAGCTATGAAGGAACTCTGGTATGTTAAGTGACCTCTGGTGAGGGCCAGTTGAGTGAAACACGGCTGCTGGAAAGTAACGGCAAAAGACCTCACCAACTTGTGGTGTGTGTGTGTGTGTGTTCGTGGGGGGGGGGGAGGTAGAGGAACAGCTTAATTATAGCCGACTGCAGATTTAAGTAGAACTGAATTAGTGGATTCGTCCAGTGTTCCGAAAACTGGTCCAGATCTCCTGTCCAGTAGGACAACACCCGATTGATCAAGCCTATTAAGGTTGGTTTCCCTTAACGGAAGGAAACCTCAACAACTAGTGCAACGAACACCTTGCCATAAAACGTCTGCATGTTGGGCCTAGCGGGAATTGTGCAACATGTACCCTGTGTAGACACCCCGTTTGCGGGTTCCGTGTTGGTCTGCAGGAGTGCAAGCGTGGTGACACCCTGCCCATTGGACGCCCTGAAAAGTAGACACTTTCAAGAGGTTACTTTGTTCTTCTGAAGAAGATAAACCCTGGGCCTTTCAAACACTGCCTAATGAGGATAGCGCACCACGGATTCGCAAGTACAAGACCTGCATGGATGAGCTGGTTGTACCCTCAGGCAGTTTCACTCATTCTCTTGCCTCACGCAAGCACAGACGCTGACAAATGAACTTGCGCGGCTACTGCTTTGTTTGCCCTTCGGACGGACGGATGTACAGAGAGAGAGAGAGAGACAGAGAGAGAGAGAGAGAGAGAGAGCGCGAGAGATAAAGATAGATAGATAGATAGATAGATAGGATAGATAGATAGATAGATAGATACATAGATAGATAGATAGATAGATAGATAGATAGATAGATAGATGGATAGATGGATAGATGGATAGATAGATAGACAGATATAGATAGATATAGATAGATATAGATAGATTTAGATAGATATAGATATAGATAAATATAGATAGATATAGATAGATAGATGAGATAGATAGATGGAGAAGGAGAAGACACATATAAAAAGCAAGAGGAACAACAAGAGAAAGCGAAAGAGAAACACGAGAGCGACAAAGAGAGAGAGAGAGAGAAAAAGAGGAAAAGTGAAAGAGAAAGAGACGGAAAAGGAGAAGAAGAGTAAAAGAAAGAGGAAGAGGATGAAGCAGAGGAAGAGGCAGAGGAAGAGGCAGAGGAAGAGGTAGAGGAAGGGATAGAGGAAGATAAATGTTAAACAACAAAAGCAAAAAGAGGAGCAGGAAAAGGAAGATAAAGTGAGAAGGAGGAGGAGGACGAGGAAGAGGAAGCGAGAGAACGAATGAAGAGAGAGAGAGAGAGAGAAAAAAAAAAAGGAGAGAATGAGATAAGAGAAAGAGAAGAGAGAGAAGCGAGAATGCAGAAGAGAGAAAAGAGGAGCGACATATCTACCACAGAAAGCTCCTGAACAAACCCTTCTACATGGGAGGGAGTGCCAGCTCAATTACGTTGATTCCGGCCCTGCGCTTCCTGAGCGGGTTGCCAAAAATCGTCGGTTCAACCTTTTTGATTTCCGCAAAATTGGTCTGACCAAAAGCAACTAAAGGAACTTGGGCAGTGAGTTTGACACATTCCCCAGCGAGTGAACCCATGCCGTTTGGCGTGCCTCGCCAAACGGCGAAGGACTGACTTCCGAAGAGGGGCTTGCTTTCCCCACCTCAGCTCGAAGCAAGCGGCTCAACCACTGGGATCCCCCTTGCAACATCACCCTAAGGAAACCAAATGATCTTGGGTCGAGATTTGCTTTGGGACCTTTGCGTTTTATGTTGGGATTTTTCTGCGTAGAAGGCCGTATTTTACAGTATGGTTCACGAATTGCACGTGTCTTGCACGCTTGTTCTGCACCAGCACTGTCAACATCCCGCGGCAGCGTATTAACATCCCCAGCCTCATTTTCGACATCCTCAAACATCGCCAGTTTGGGGTCCAAGGAGTTGCTTTATTGCGGGTAGGTCTCGGTCTGCGATTCAGGTACTGGGATGGTTTGCAGTAGTGCTCGTTTATGGGGTACGGTATAGGGTTTGCTCAGGGTTGTTAAGGGTTGGTCTGGGGGCGGGTGCTTGGGTTTGGTGATGGTTTAAGGTGGGTTCAGGACTGGTTTTTGGGTTGCTTTAGGGAGGGTTTAGTGCTGGTGCAAAACGAGTCCATGTTACTTGAAAATGCTGTGAACTACAGCATTGTGAGACAGGGAGTGAAATCAAACACAGATCTAGAAAACAAATCAAGACACTACTGGAGAGCGCGCAATTAAAAACAAGCATCACAAAGCCGAACAGCAACAAAAACACCGTTAAAACATGGCCCTCCGATGATATTTCAAACCACCAACTAGGGGAAACGGGACCCTTTGTCTATGAACCTCTGCTATATTTGAAGCTTAATACATCACTAGTTGGTCAGACCCTGTTGGTCTATAAGCTGCCACCTGGCTCATGGGACCGATTTCACTGGTGTCGATCGACTCAGGGCTGGACATGCGAGACCGAAGGAAGCCGTTGACATCCGTTGACCAATTTCTCAGGTTTTCTCAGGCACCCAAAAAAGGACTCAGAAACAAAACGGAAAAACTTGGGGCCATGACCAAAACACCACAAGGTCAAAAAAGGTCGGCTCAGGGATGCTCGACCCTTGTGGCTTGAGCATCGGTCAGAGTCTCCCAAATGGACGGGCTGTTCCTTGCGGTTCCCAACGACCAAGCAGCCTGGTCTTGGGAGCACAAACACATGGCAACCGAAAACGCTGAGGACATGTTCCGAGTTTGAAAGCTGAAACAAACAAAAAAGGACGGTAAAGCCTCGGAACATCGCCAGAAACCGATGAACAATAGCCAGGGATCTCTTGTCCAAACTCCCACCTGTGAGATGTGAGAGCCCAAGAGATCTTCGCTGCAAGTGGCTTGCTGCCAACTTCGTAGGTGTTTCTGAACATAGGGGAGCTTCCTTTGCTTGACGGGCAGCCAACCATGTGAGGATGCTGTAGAGGGCCCCAAAACTTTTGGGGACACCCGCATACGAATCTCCGTTGGAACTTCGGCATGTGCGAGTACAAGTCTGCCAACAGAATTGCCCGCTTCATTCGGTAGTGGCCAAACTGCTCCAAGCCTTACACAGATTGGGGCTGTATCAAAATCAGGGACCCTCTAAAGCGGAAGTGCCCCTTTGAACTCCCTTGAAAGAAGGGTAACCCAACGAAATACAAACTGAAATTACCAAAACCTTTCGGTTTCCTTTGGTAAATATTGGTCTACACCAGGGATTCAGTTTTTTCACCCTGGGCGGCGTTGCCAAGCAAAGGCGGGAACAAGCCTTGCCATGGCTCCGGTCAGGTGCTTGACTAGGTCCTCCAGTAGAAAGGTTTGGAATAAGGGCCCCCTTTTTTCTATAGTCTATTTAGTAGGGGAAGCCTCCCCCCCAAAAAAGTAAAAGGGCACTACTGGGGAACCTAGTTGAAGCTGTTGAAGATTGGTGAAGTAAAACTCCCCCAACGTGCGTGTTGCCAGCTGGGAAGATGTCAACCAAACCTTCCTCAATAGTGATTTCTACCATAAATGTTGGTCCACCAAAGTCAGACTGGCATCTAGTTTCATATGAGGGTTGTTTGTCGGGCATTGAACTGGCTGTGGCTCAAAGTTGGAGCACCACAATATGAGGGATGAGCTTGCAAGCCACCGTGGCCCAATGTGTGTGTGTGTGTGTGTTCGTGTGGCCCGCTAGTTCTGATCAAGCCTCATTCCATCTGGCGGTGGAAGGAGGTAAGAATCCAGCCGAACCGAAACCCCTTCAAACTAACTGGGCGGGGGGTTGTGGTGCCCTTTTCAAGGTGTGTTAAAGGAAAACCTGAAGGAAGTACATCGTTTTGGGGTTCCCCTATTTGGAGATGAATCTACCCATTTGCTTGTTTTAAGACACACCAATGCTTTTCTGGCTCATTGAAAGCCAGCGTTGGAAAACCACATCACCAAGTCGCCAAACTAAATCTTAGATATTGCCCCCCCCCGAACCCAAAAAGCATAACTTAACATTTGGTCGGCGTACACAAAACAACTCAGATTCTGCTTCGTATCTAGCTGGCGGCCGAGTATATAATTGCGAAGCAAACTCACAGATCCGACGCTCATGTCTAAGACCTCAACCCCCTTGTCCATCTCCGTGCAAAGCCGCAGCAGCCTCGCAAGCGAGCGACACGTTGCGGAGATAAAAGCCACGACCTGATTTGAACGCGAGCACTCAGTGCACTTCCATGTTTGTTGCCGGGAGGGTATGTTTGTCACGGTAGTTGCGGTATATGCGGTTGCCTACTTGGGTTGCAAATGTTGAACTTCGGTGCAATATCAAGCTGTTGGCAAGAAACTCCCAAGAATGCTGGCGACAATCCAAGGCTCATTTGCGAAGGGGCAAGTCGATCCTTGACTAGATGCGGAAACACTCAGCTCGTCGGTACTGGTAGCTTACAGTTGGAGGCACAGGTAGTTTCCGGCACCTACGGTATTTGTTGTTTGGCGAACATGTTCGAACATGTTCTATTTGCACGGAATATGAGGAATTTAGGATGCACTACATCAGGTGAATGTGTGTGTGTGTGTGTTTCTGTTGAGGATATTTAAAGGGAAGCAAATGGAGAACACCAGTTTGGGGGTTCCAAATTTTGACACGCACAAACACATGTGTCACCTCTTGGCTAGTATAAGTGGCCTTAAAGGGGCCTGTGCACTTCCATGTTTGCTGGTGGAAGGGTGCTGTTGCATGTTTGTTGGCAGAAAGATAACCCACCAACATTCTCGATTGAAGACTAGCTTGGAGCCCCAGACAAAATTGAAAGGGCCGCTCCAAATGCATGTGCTCCAGACATGGGTATTTTGGTCAGATATGTCAGATCCCAAAGCGGGTTTTCAGGGGTGTAACTTGCTAACTTCAGCGCTTCCCCCTCTTCTTTGCATCCCCTACTGAGATTGGTTTTTGAAACATGGTTATCAGCTCTTGCAACAAAACAATTGGATTCTCACTTCCTGAGCGCATTGATCAGAAACATTTCATGCGTATCGCTTTCCAAATTGATCATCTCAAGAAGTTGAAAGTCCAGCATCTGCGAAAGTGCGGGTTACCCAAACTACAGGAACCTGCGCGTCGCAACCAATGAATCAACTGCTCCTACCAACCCGACCCCTAAACACGTGTTTAGTTTGGTGTATTTCATTCTCCCCGTAGAGTTTGCGTTTGGGGGGTAGGTGTGGTGTGTTTGGGGCTGTCCCCCAAAACGGGGGTGAGTGGAGAACCAGCTTTGCTTACAACTTTTTCCGTTTCCTGCTGAGGGCTGCACGCTGCTGCGGCTGCTGGCTCGATGTCGTCCAGCCTTCCGGAGCGAGGTTGGTTTAAGTCGGGGAGTGTCCAAAACTCATTTCATTTCCTGAGTTGATGGGCTAAAACCAAGGTTGTTGTTTGCCACTAAGATGGTCTTCCCCCCAAAAAAAGTACATAATCTCAGGGAGTGAGTCACCATGCGTTCAACAATACTCCTCAAATTACACCTAGTGTCCAACTGTCAGAGAAGTGGACAGGAGGCCTTGCAAAATGCTCCTGTCAACTCTCATAACTGTTGGACAGAGAGTCCAAATGAGAACTAAGGTCGACCTGAGACAAACAAGAAATGAAAGCAAACACGCTCTTAGGAGGGGCTGCGGGGATTCTAGCGTCTGTTTTACCCTCTTTGCAGCTGAGCGCTCAGAAAAAAAGGGCGCTGCAACATTGGGGGAATCAACCTGTCACTCTGCATTCATGATGAATAGTCGGACAATCCCCCTCATGGTGAAATGGGAACCTGAAACTGAACAACCTACCATTCCGCTTGCACTGCAGAGCTGCTCTGCAGCTGTCAGATTGGTAACAAGCGGCTCGGCTCTCAGCGAAGCCCTGCGAGCTTATCGCAGCCAGAGGCAAGACTGTCGTCTCCCCGCTTTTCCATGGTGCCGCTCGTACGATCTCCTCGCTGTCGCAGCTCGTCGTTGAGTCGCAGCACGCTGAGCCAGGCGCGGTGTCCTCATCCGAGCAGAACTCCTTCTCGTCTTCGTCGGAAAGGTCAAGTCGAAGATGGGTTTCCTTCAGCCACCATGGCTGACCCTTCCTGCGTTCAGGGATCCTTCTCACCAAACCCAAGGGGAATAGAAGGTTTCTGAACAGAATGACGGGTGAAGACAATGGTTTGGAATCAACCCTCGGAACTTAATCTCTTCTTCCCATGAATGAACGGATCTCTAACAAAACAAATAGAAACCAGCTGGCAAACCACGGTTTCTATTATTAAGTTCTTCCTCAAAAGTTGACGTCTGAAGAGTTGTTTGTGCAATAAAAGGGATCCCCTCCCTTTCCAAGTTCTCACTGAACAGTTGCATTATGAACACTTGTTTCGCAAATGAAAGGGGTCCGCTTCGATTAAAGGTTCTTAATCAACAGTTGCATTTTGAACATTGCTTTTGCAGATCCCTTTAAACGTTCTTACTCAAAAGTCGCATTATGAACACTTGTTTTGCAAATCAAATGAGTCCCTCTTTTCCAATGTGAACCCAATACTAAACAGCGCATTCTGAAAAACCGGGGGAACCCAATATTAGAAACGCTCCGAGTTTGTTGTTTGTTAATACTAGCGGGGAACTGTTTAAACTTTGGGAGAGCGGATCAACACTGACATCTTCCCCCCAGCATCGTCAAACAAGACGTCAAATAACCGGACCAATCAATGGGAGAGCTTGACGTTGCAGCTCAAAAGTGGCTCGCATTTATCGAACAAAACACCGCAACATGCACCTGATGATCTTGAAGGCCAAGGCTTAATATCAAGGCAAGGGTGTCTTTCTGAGAATAGTCGGTATGTCAATGCTGGCATCCAGTATTCATCCCGAATCAACCCGTCCCAGTCTCTGTGGGCGAAGAGGCAACCGCGTCTTGTCTCGGGCTTTCCATTTCGCCACAAAGGAACCGGAGCCTTTTGGCGGACCCTTTTCCAAAGCCGGAAAAATGGCTATTGTTTCTCACTGGGAAGCCGCAAGAAAGCCAACGGGAGGGCATCGGTTTCGCTTGGGCCGCCCCACATGTCCAGGTCCTTGAACGCTTGCCTCGGTCAAACCGCCGGTCTAAGGCTGAGCCGGGAGAACCACGGGAACCTGGGCTCTGCCACAAGCAAGCAAACATCGAATCATGCACTATGAACTATGTTTGGATACTAAATCAGAAAGCAAGCCAGAAGCAAGCCGAAGGTTTGCTGATTGCCCTAATCCGACCCAAATGGATTGGACTTGACCTTCAGGCGAATCCAGCAAGCAGAATTCAGGAATCCCGAAGTGACCTTCCTCCCGCAGTGTGGTTTGCTTTGTTTCAGTTGTTGTGGATTTGCAGCGGCAAGGGTCTATCTGAAGCCCGGGCACCCCTGGCCCCTTCCTCCCACTTTGCTCTTGGATCGTCCAGGCGGACCATGCTGCAACAAGAATAACTTCCAGTCCAGGACTCAAAACAAACGCCAAACCTGAGGTTACCTTTCGCCCTTTGCAGGTGAACACAAATCAAATGCGTCGTCAAACATGTGTAAACCACCATTGGTGACGTCTTTCTCATTTTGAACCATTAGTGACATGTCATCCTGTGGATTTCCCTGCAATCAAATCTGCTTGTTTCACTCTCGATCCCCCCAAACAAATAAAAAAACACGGAATTACAACAGCATACGCACCAGATAGCATGGGAGACCGGAAATGGCTCATGTTTGTGTAGCGAATCGTCAGAAAGCATGAAGATACTGCGACCAAGAACAACTATGCGCTAAGTAAAACACACACACACACACAGAAACAGACACACAGACACACAGACACAGAGACACAGAGACACAGAGACACAGAGACACAGAGACACAGAGACACAGAGACACAGAGACACAGAGACACAGAGACACAGAGACACAGAGACACAGAGACACAGAGACACAGAGACACAGAGACACAGAGACACAGAGACACACACAGAGACACAGAGACACAGAGACACAGAGACACAGAGACACAGAGACACAGAGACACAGAGACACAGAGACACAGAGACACAGAGACACAGAGACACACAGAGACACAGAGACACAGAGACACAGAGACACACAGAGACACAGAGACACAGAGACACAGAGACACAGAGACACAGAGACACAGAGACACAGAGACACAGAGACACAGAGACACAGAGACACAGAGACACAGAGACACAGAGACACAGAGACACAGAGACACAGAGACACAGAGACACAGAGACACAGAGACACAGAGACACAGAGACACAGAGACACAGAGACACAGAGACACAGAGACACAGAGACACAGAGACACAGAGACACAGAGACACAGAGACACAGAGACACAGAGACACAGAGACACAGAGACACAGAGACACAGAGACACAGAGACACAGAGACACAGAGACACAGAGACACAGAGACACAGAGACACAGAGACACAGAGACACAGAGACACAGAGACACAGAGACACAGAGACACAGAGACAGAGACAGAGACACAGAGACACAGAGACACAGAGACACAGAGACACAGAGACACAGAGACACAGAGACACAGAGACACAGAGACACAGAGACACAGAGACACAGAGACACAGAGACACAGAGACACAGAGACACAGAGACACAGAGACACAGAGACACAGAGACACAGAGACACAGAGACACAGAGACACAGAGACACAGAGACACAGAGACACAGAGACACAGAGACACAGAGACACAGAGACACAGAGACACAGAGACACAGAGACACAGAGACACAGAGACACAGAGACACAGAGACACAGAGACACAGAGACACAGAGACACAGAGACACAGAGACACAGAGACACAGAGACACAGAGACAGAGACACAGAGACACAGAGACACAGAGACACAGAGACACAGAGACACAGAGACACAGAGACACAGAGACACAGAGACACAGAGACACAGAGACACAGAGACACAGACACAGACACAGACACAGACACAGACACAGACACAGACACAGACACAGACACAGAGACACAGAGACACAGAGACACAGAGACACAGAGACACAGAGACACAGAGACACAGAGACACAGAGACACAGAGACACAGAGACACAGAGACACAGAGACACAGAGACACAGAGACACAGAGACACAGAGACACAGAGACACAGAGACACAGAGACACAGAGACACAGAGACACAGAGACACAGAGACACAGAGACACAGAGACACAGAGACACAGAGACACAGAGACACAGAGACACAGAGATTGCAGAGACGCAGAGAGAGCAGACACGCAGAGACAGACAGAGACACAGAGACACAGAGACACAGAGACGCAGAGACGCAGAGACGCAGAGACGCAGAGACGCAGAGATGCAGAGACGCCGAGACGCAGAGACGCAGAGACGCAGAGACGCAGACCCGCAGACCCGCAGACCCGCAGACCCGCAGACCCGCAGCAGACCAGCAGCAGACCCGCAGACCCGCAGACCCGCAGACCCGCAGACCCGCAGACCCGCAGACCCGCAGACCCGCAGACCCACAGACCCACAGACCCACAGACCCACAGACCCACAGAGACACAGAGACACAGAGACACAGAGACACAGAGACACAGAGACACAGAGACACAGAGACACAGAGACACAGAGACACAGAGACACAGAGACACAGACACAGAGACACAGAGACACAGAGACACAGAGACACAGAGACACAGAGACACAGAGACACAGAGACACAGAGACACAGAGACACAGAGACACAGAGACATAGAGACACAGAGACACAGAGACACAGAGACACAGAGACACAGAGACACAGAGACACAGAGACACAGAGACACAGAGACACAGAGACACAGAGACAGAGACACAGAGACACAGAGACACAGAGACACAGAGACACAGAGACACAGACCTACACACACACACCTACACTACACACACACACCTCACACACACACACACAAACAGACACACAAACACACAAAAACAAACACACACACACAAACACACACACACACAAACACACACACACACACACACACACACACACACACACACACACACACACACACACACACACACACACACACACACACACACACACACACACACACACACACACACACACACACACACACACACACACACACACACACACACACACACACACACACACACACACACACACACACACACACACACACACACACACACACACACACACACACACACACACACACACACACACACACACACACACACACACACAACACACACACACACACACACACACACACACACACACACACACACACACACACACACACACACACACACACACACACACACACACACACACACACACACACACACACACACACTCACACACACACACACACACACACACACACACACACACACACACACACACACACACACACACACACACACACACACACACACACACACACACACACACACACACACACACACACACACACACACACACACACACACACACACACACACACACACACACACACACACACACACACACACACACACACACACACACACACACACACACACACACACACACACACACACACACACACACACACACACACACACACACACACACACACACACACCACACACACACACACATACACATACACATACACATACACATACACATACACATACACATACACATACACACACATACACATACACACACACAGACACATACACATACACACGTACACACGTACACACATACACACATACACACATATAGACACATATAGACACATATACACACACATACACACATACACACATACACACATACACACATATGCACATACACACATACACGCATACACACATGCACACATGCACACATACATACGTACACACGTACACACGTACACACCTACACACCTACACACGTACACACCTACACACACACAACACCCTAATACACTCAGCAGCATCATGATTAATGTTGCAGCATCATGATAGCTGCGCCAGCACCCCAAAATGCATGCCCCCTACCACCCAGCCGTCAATCTTGCAAGCAACCAGCACCTCAAACAGTACCCTGAACAGCACCCCCAAACAGCAGCGCAGCTGCCCAAACTGTATGCCCCCGAGCACCTCTTTAGAAGTTAGAACCCTTGTAGCTTTCAGCTTGGGGAAAACCAAAACATACTCTCCTTGCCCGGCGTGGCAAGGAGCCGCTGAGCCACAGGCACGAGGCAAAGAATGCTGGTGGCGACTTCATGGCCGGCACCTGGCGACCAGAAAGGCTCTCCTTCCCAGAAATCGTCATTTGTTGGTCGACTTTAAAAAGGACAGCCCACCTGAACCAAGGCGCAGCGGCAACAACCACTGGACTGGGGTCTTCCGCGAAGACTGCGGAAAGCATGAAGCACCAAGCGAGCCCTGCCACAGATAAGGTAACCAACTAACACATGGCTGAAGGAAACTGAGAGAAACGATCAGTGCCAAACACATCCAATACGCGACCAAGCAACTCATACGACAGCGAACTAGACACTCAGCATCAAGCAGACTCAGACACGTAGATGGGATGAGCTGGAAAACCAAATAATTGGAGGCAATCTGTTCCGAAAGCAAATGGAATGTCGCAACGGAAGACACCGAATCCAGCCAAAGACAAAAGGTACACATTACCCTGAGCTTGACATCAGACCTTCAGTGGATTTTCGTGGGTTATGGCACTTTTTTTGGTGAATTGAAGGGACATCCATTTCCAAAAGGACGAAAGGAATCGCACCACTGGCGGTCTGGAATCAAGAACATGCAGCCAATCAAGGAGCCTTTCGGATCTGAAAGCTGGCCAGCATGTCGCGGAGCTTTCAAAACCTGGCACACTAAAGTGTGTTTAATTCCTATATCAGAATTCCAACATGATTCAGCTGACACCCTCAACATCCAATGCTGTAAACGAGACATGTCCTTCAAGCTCCCTCTCAATTTCAACACAACATCCAAAAGGGATCCATAATTCCACGAAACTGGTCCATCGTTTCAGGAAACTCTCAGCAAGCTCGTCCATAGTTTCAGCAACCACTCCTTCCTTGGCCCAAATCTAAGGTGCATCGCAAAAAGTAGTTTCAAAATCTGATTCCGGCTCATATAAACTCAGTTGTTCAGTGACCCTGGAAAAAAAGGGAACCCTTTTTTGGGAAGACCATTTTAGCGGGGAAGCCGCCAAAAATTACACCAGCCTCAACCCCAAACAGCAAAAACACATGACAGGTCTGTGTAACAAAAAAGGCTTGTCTCCTTCATGTAAGGTGCGAAATTGAGTAGCTCTTTGAGTAACCCAGGGCTCGGGCGTCCCCAGTCACCCGGAGCTGCAAGAGGGTGGCGCCGCCAAGTGCATCCAGTACCTCCTCGACGCCGGCGCTGACCAAACCGAGAGGGACGAGGTGAGTCCCGTCTTCCGTGCCTTGCTGCGCAGTGCCTCGACTTTGGCGGGAATCAACCTAACACCTGGCATTAATCAAAGGAAGTTTCGAAGGAACTTTCGTAGTACGGACACTCAATGCACTTTTCCATCACCGCATCATTTGGTGGCCGTCTCGCTACTCTGCTGAAACTTGCGCATCAGTCTCAGCAGCTTACGGCCGAGACTGGACACATGCCACTTCTGGTTGCTATCTTCTTCTCGAGCTCGGCTAAAGGTCTTGCCACAAGCAAAGCAAGAGAGCACTTGCATAAACTTGCCGACTGCGCCTTGTAGCGTTGCGGCCGGGACATCCTCGCCTAGCAACGCAGGCACACGCCGCGCCAAATTGGCAAGCGTCAGCAAAGGTGCCCGTTGGCGCGCACCCTCTGTCACCCGGCACAGCTCCAGAAGATCCTCAGTGTTTGAGCCGGCAGTAGCTTGGTCCTCCAGGGCCTTCATCTCTGTCGTGTCCAGCGCGCCGCATGCTCCCAAGATGGCCAACGCATGGCTTTGCTCCATGTGCCCAACTCCGCTCCATTCTGTGGCTTTGAACGTCAGCTCCAGCCACTTTGCCCCAACTTACCAATGCTGGCTGCACAGTGAACACCACCAGCTTGGCCGGGTTCATCTTGGAGGTGCTTATGGTTCAAGATTGGTGTTCACATGTGTGGTGAACCGTCATTCCAACGCACGCCGCTGGCAACAACTTCTGGGCCTTGCGGTCACTCAGCTCCAGCAGCACTGTAATCGACTGGCCGGGTTCGTGAACTGTTTCCAAGTTGTCAAGGTCGGCGAAGTAGGTTGCCAGGCAAAGGCTCCTCTGCATCAACCAAGATTTTCGAGGAGAACTCGACAAGTGCAGGGACGATGCGAACAACTCTTACGAGCTAATGGTTTGCCTGGGGACCCGGCTCACCCAGGCTTTACTTCCAGGGCAACAACCGGTCAGAAAAAACCTTGGAGCTCGGACCCAACGATGCAACAAGATGATAAGTACGCCTGCTTGACTGTGTGTTCGCTCGTCCCTCTCTGCGATAGGACCAGATCTCCAAGAGCAAGTCACCAGCCAGGAAGCCCCTCTGCGATTGGCGAAACGGCTCTTGTTGGTGGAGCCAAAAGAAACCATCAAACACGGCGGTGGCGTTAGCAACTCTTATTAGATTATACAGCCACCGAACATGTGTGGAAACATGGCCATGACCGTGTGTCCTTGTTGCAATCACCACATTGACACCAGAGCCGCCATTCCGGGGGAGGTCGCCACGCACGCAGAGTGTCCAGCAGCACCGAAACCTTTTGCTTGAACGGGTCGGAATTGATGTTCAAGGCGTAGTGGAGGCGAAGCTGTGTCGTCAAAGAAGAAATGGATGGGCCATGTCTGTAGCACGTGTTGCTTCGGTGAGCGATGGTCTTGATGCTATCAGCACATCCCTCCAGCTTGGTTTCCCGACAAGCCACGTATGCTGCGAGCAAGTAAATCAGAATCTCGCCCGGAGCTGCCAAATTCAAGTCGAGATCTTGGAAAAGAACGTTGGTTGCGAGAATGAAATGAAATTGCTCGGATTTCCAAAAATACTCACTGCGGGAGGCGAGCACAAGCGCCATGCAATACAGCTCACGTTGAACCTCTTTGGTGTTCCTTGCGTCCAGAGACTGTAGGGAAGCTAGCGCCTCAGAGAATGGCACCTTCCGACGTCCCGCCATGAAAACGCTTGAGCTCTTGCACTTGCAAGCCCTGGACACTTTCGGACACGTGCAAAACAGCAGCGTCCATATTGCGAAAACAAGGCTGAGAAATCTGTCTTCAACCCTTCTGTCAGGAGGCAACGAGGTGTGTCAAAGCTGCGACCTTGGCATCACGAAGGCGTGAAATGCTTCAGCAAAATGCGTTTGTCAGTGCGACTGGATTACAGAGGTTGCAATGAGGAAAACGCGTCGCAGGACCAGCTAGCGAAGCGAAAGGCTGGATATGATTTTGGCCGGGCCACATGGCTATCCAACGAAGAAGGTGCTAAATACTGGCAACAAGATAGGAGGCAAGGTTTACAACAGCACTGCCAACAAGAAAGGGTGCTCGAACTACAGCGATGCAACCAAGAGGAGACTAGAAGATGGGTGGCCCAACAGCACACGGCGCCAAGTGACCCTAGCAAGTTCTCTGCGCAGGTTCCTCTGAGCAAGTTGTTGGCGCGAGTTCCTTTGAGCAAGTTCTCTCAGCAAGTTTCTCTGAAACAAGTTTCAATGAGCAAGTTGTCTGAGCAAGCTCTCTGCGTGCAGCGCTTGCCGCAACACACTGCAACTTCCTAGCGCAACTCACAACTGCAACTTGCTAGCGCCGCTTGCTGGTGCTACTTGCTAGTGCCACTGACTAGCGCCACTGGCTCGTGCATCTCGCTAGCGCTTTCTTGCTCGTGCTACTGGCTTGCGCCATTTTGCTAGTCGCATTTTGCCAGTGCAACTCGCTAGTGCTACTTGCTAACGCAACTTGCTGGTGTCATCCGCCGGAGGTCTTTCCTGCAGCGCTCCTGCATCCCTAGCATCATCAGTCGCCTCTGCTGATGCGCCACAAAGATGCAAACCAGTCAGTTACGGCAACTTGGCTGGACTCTGCTGATGCGCCACAAGGATGCAAACCAATCAGTTCCGGGCCACTTGGCTGGGCTCTGCTGACGCGCCACAAGGATGCAAACCAGTCAGTTACGGCCACTTGGCTGGGCTCTGATGCGCCACAAGGATGCAAACCAGTCAGTTAGGGCCACTTGGCTGGGCTCTGCTGATGCGCCACAAGGATCAGTTAAGGCCACTTGGCTGGGCTCTTCTGCGCAAGGATGCAAACCAGTCAGTTTTGGCCACTTGAGGCCACTTGGCTGGGCTCCGCTGGTGCGCTTACAAGGATGCAAGCCAGTCAGTTAAGGCCACTTGGCTGGGCTCTGCTGATGCGCCACAAGGATGCAAACCAGTCAGTTAAGCCACTTGGCTGGGCTCTGCTGATGAGCCACAAGGATCAGTTAAGGCCACTTGGTTGGGCTCTTCTGCGCAAGGATGCAAACCAGTCAGTTTTGGCCACTTGCCTGGGCTCTGCTGTTGCGCCACAAGGATGCAAACTTGTTAGAAAAGGCAACTTGGCAGCAGAGCCCGGCCAAGTGGCCTTAACTGACTGGTTTGCATCCTTGCGGCGCATCAGCAGAGCCCACCCAAGTGGCCATAACTGACTGGTTTGCATCCTTGTGGCGCATCACAAAAGCATCCTTGTGGCGCCCAGCTAAGTGGCCTTTTTCTGACGCCACTGGCTGGGCTCTGCTGATGCGCTACAAGGATGCAAACCAGTCACTTGGCTGGGCTCTGCTGATGCGCCACAAGGATGCAAACCAGTCAGTCAAGGCTGGGCTCTGCTCATCCGCCACAAGGTCACTTGACTACCAGTGAGGCTACTTGGCTGGGCTCTGCTGGTGCGCCACAAGGGTGCAAACCAGTCAGCCACTTGGCTGGGTCTGCTGATGCGCCACAAGGATGCAAACCAGTCCTTGGCTGCGCTCTGATGCGCCACAAGGATGCAAACCAGTCAGTTAGGGCAACTGTCTAGCTTGTCAGTGGCAGGTCGCCACTCAAAACTTTGAGCACGCTTCACGGCATGCCTCTTCTTGCTCAAGCAGTCGGGGGGTAGTGGACCTGATTGGGGGCGCTCGACCCCCCCCCGAGGCACTTCCTGCGCCCTAGCCAGACACCAACAGAGCGCCTTGAAATAGCTGGACCAGGCCACGCCCAGGCCCAAACAGTGAAAGACTTTTTTCTCCACGTCCCCGGGGCCCTCGCTCCCGTCGAAACGGCGCAGCCGAACACGACAACTCTCCCGCCGAACACAAAAAAGCAAAGTCCCTGCTAAGTGGCCGTTGTTGTGCAACGAGTCACTTCCCTGTTCGGCCCCCGCTATTCCTCACGCACTTTTTTAGGGGGGTCGGGTGGGTCTTGGGCGCCGGCAAGCCCTCAAGCGCCCCGCAGCTGAGCACAAGAAGATTGAAGTCATGACGTTGGTGCGGGGGAAAGGCAGGGCAGAGGTTCGTCCTGACCATCTAGCAAATGATCGGCGCTGGCCTAAAATTCAATCGGCCGCCCCGCACACACAGCAAAAGTAACGAAGACCCCGCAACATGTGATCCCCAAAAAGCACTGCGACACGGGGACATCTTCCTTCGTCCGCTTCTTCCTCTCCTCCGCCTTCTTCTTCCTCGCCTTGGTGTTGGCAGCTCGGGCGCGGCGAATGCGCTGCCGTAGTGCTGCGTGGTTCGGGGCCACAACTCCGCGAGCAGCGAACCGCTCTAGAAGGGTCTTCTTGCCCTTGCCCCGAAGCTTCCTGAGTGGGCAGGCGCTTTGTGGCCCGTGTTGGGACGGTCACAGCTTCACCCAATATGCTGCTGCGGGCCTTACCACCCTTGGTGTGTGGCTCTCAGCAAAGCACAACGTGGGACGGAAGGTGGGGCAAAACAGAGGCAAGTTTCTTTGCTTGGAGGCCCGCGGCCCTTCGACTTGGGGGTCGGAATTTGGGCACCCTGTGTGTTTGTGTGTGTGTGTGGTGGGTGTGTTTGAAAGCTTGCCGCCCCCCCCCCCTCTTCCATGCCAGGCACCACTCGAGGTACATGGCAGGCCCGAAAAACCGTCATGTGGCGCCCAGTTTCCGTTTGCTGCCTGCCGCGGCAGAGCTGATGCGCCACAGGATGCAAACCAGTCAGTTAAGGCCACTTGGCTGGGTGCTGTGCCACAAGGATGCAAACCAGTCAGTTACGACTTGGCTCGGCTCAGCTGGAGGCCACTTGGCTGGGCTCTGCTGCTGTGCCACAAGGATGCAAACCAGTCAGTTAAGGCCACTTGGCTGGGACAAGGATGCAAACCAGTCAGGTAAGGCCACTTGGCTGGGCTGCTGATGCGCCACAAGGATGCAACCACTTGGCTGGGCTCTGCTGATTATGCGCCGCAAGGATGCAAACCAGCCAGTTACGGCCACTTGGCTGGGCTCTGCTGGTGCGCCACAAGAATGCAAACCAGTCAGGTGCCACAAGGATGCAAACCAATCAGTTTTGGCCACTTGGCTGGGCTCTGCTGACGCGTCAAAAGGATGCAAACCTGCACTTGACCAAGAAGCGCGGCACTGGCTTCCAAAAAAGAAGCTCAGAATTCTGAGCAAAGCAATCAGTCGGATGTCCCAGTACATTTGTTTATCGAGAAAACAGACACATTTAAGGCTCGTCAGGTGCCTCAGTATTTGTTTATCGAGAATAAAAGTACCTATTTAAGGCTTGACAGGCTCAGGATGCAAACCTGCACTTGACCAAGAAGTGCGGCACTGGCTTCCAAAAAGCAGCTCAGAATCCTGAGCAAAGCAATCAGGCGGATGTCACGATATCCAACATGTTTAAGGCTCGGCAGGGCTCTGCTGATGCGCACTTGACCAGGTGCGGCACTGGCTTCCAAAAAGCAGCTCAGAATCCTGAGCAAAGCAATCAGGCGGATGTACATTTGTTTCTCGAGAACAGAATGGACACATTTAAGGCTCGACAGGGCTCTGCTGATGCGGCGCTGGCTTCCACAAAGCGCCACAAGGATGCAAACCTGCACTTGACCAAGAAGTGCGGCACTGGCTTCCAAACAGCAGCTCAGAATCCTCAGCAAAGCAATCATCCGGATGTGACAGTGTCTTTGTTTTTCCAGAAAATGGACATTACAGAGCCCAGCTGATGCGCCACAAGGATGCAAACTTGCACTTGGCCAAGAAGCGCGGCACTGGCTTCCAAAAAGCAGTCAGCCGGATGTCACTATATATTTGTTTTGTATCGAGAAACATAGACATACTAAAGGCTCGACAGGTATTTAAGGCTCGACATTGCTTGCTTCTAGCTCCAACGATGCTCCACAAGGATGCAAACCAGCGCTTGACCAAGAGAGAGGCACATCCTTTGCACACACGCTAACAGCAAAATCTGCGACATGCCCTTTCCCCGTTGCGAAACATTGTTGCAAGAAGTGGTTCCTGCTGACTTGTCGAATCTATTTTTCTAGCTTGATGCTTCTCAATTGCGCTTGCGAGCTGCTGCCACGTGAGCCGCAGGGAGCCGAAGGGAGCCGAATGCCGGTCACTGGATGTCAAGCAAGCCAGGGCAGCCTCAAAACTGGGTAAGAAGAAACAGGTTCAGTTGGTTTTGCCCGGCACCTTCATTTTTCTTGTTGAGGGCTGTAAGCAGGATAACAGCCAGCTGGCAGCAAGCAAGGGGTCAGCCCCAAAAACCCGCAATGCAAGAAGCAGCTTCATCTGGTTTTGCCCGGGACCCTGTTGAGGGCTGTTAGCATTAAACAAACAGCCAGCAGGCTGGCAGCAAGCAAGGTCAGCCCCAAAACTCGCAAAGAACAAGCAGCTTCAGTTGGTTTTGCCCGGGACCATCCTTTACCGCAGAGACTGGGAGACACAGGGAGAGAAGCGGGAGACACGACCCCGGAGCCAGCGTCACAGCATCTGGCATCTGACCGCAGAGACTGGGAGACACAGCAAGACAAGCGGGAGACAAGACCACGGCATCTGGCATCAGAGACTGGGAGACAAGCGGGAGACACCACCCCAGAGCCAGCGTCACAGCATCTGGCATCTGAGCGCAGAGACACAGGGAGGGAGACACATCCAAGCACAGCAGAGACTGGGAGACACAACCTGGGAAATACAGGGGGATAACCTCTAATACGACCCCGGAGCCAGCGTCATCTATCTGGCAGAGGCTACGATCCTGGAGCCAGCGTCGCGGCATCTGGCATCTGACCGGAGAGACTGGGAGACAGGAAGACAAGCGGAAAACAGGGCCCCGGAACCGGCGTCACACTTTCCCATTCTCTATACCTCAAGTTAGAACCCCAATGCTTTGCTGTTTGGGGAAAAAAGGGGAAAAAGGGGGCCACTGAACAACTGAGTAAAGAGAGCCCCCCAAAAAAGAACTTGCAGACGACCAATTCGGCTTAGTGGCGGTGCTCAAGCTGGGGACAGCCACGCCCCAGGCCCCCCGCGGCACCATGTGAACTCGAGAATTCGTTTGGTTTTGATGTTCCCCAAGCGCACACATCCACACATCAGTATATGCTTTTTGAGAGTACCCTGTGTGTTGTTTTAAAAAAGACAACACCATTGTAAAGAGACAAGGCACCATGTACAAATTGCAGAGCATGCCTTCTTTCCATCTTCTGAATTCTGGCCGGCCAATTTCGAGGGCCCCCCAGATTCGGGCCATCAACTGTGAAGAACCAAAGCCACGACTCATGGCCCCCCGAAACCACCTCGATCCGCCGGCATCGCATCCTGCTCGAGTGAAGTTCATCCAGCTTCGGTGCGTGCTGACCGGCCAAGAACACGTCAGGGCAGAACGAGTTGGACCTATTCTCTGTATGTGGGTAAGTAAAAGGAAGGACCAAACCAAGATGTGTTGGAATTGTGCTATCTACTGCCACCCAGCTGTAAGTTTGTTGTTGGCAAGGGCCTGTGCTCAAGTGAAGAGAAATATGATTCCAAAAAGATTGAACATCACTCATTCATCTAGACAAAGCATGAACATCCCAAATGGCGGGGGTGAAACCACCATGGGATCATCAAAGTCCAATCGCCTGAAAGGTTGTTAGGTTCGTTCACGGCCAAAGGATGTACACTTGGGCAGAACACCCCGCTGATTGTGGTGGGCCTCACTACAACTTTCGCTGGACTTGGTCGACGTTCAGCCCTACACCTAGGATTTGTTCGTCTTTTCAACCATCATATTTTGTTAAGTGCAAAGATGTATGGTGATACCGTTGACCCACTGAATCGAGTCGAACGTTTCACGATGTGAAACTCTGGAGATGTGGGGTGCTAAACTTGGCCAGACGGATCTTTTCGACCCCTGCAATACGTCAGCTCTGGTGAAGAGGGGAACCGAAGGAAACCCCCAGAAGGGTAAAAGGGCGCAACGGTCATTTGAAATTTGGTTTTGAATGTTAATGGGGGCCCTTTTGGTGGACATCAGATTTTGGTTCTAACTCTTAAAAAGCATAGCCAAAGTCTGGCAGTGCTGAGTTTGAAGGCAACCCGGCCCAAGAAAAGGAATGGAAAGGGGGAGCACCAGACTGGAGGGGCGTCCGGCAATGTGAACTCACCTCAGTGGACTTGCCAAAAAAAAGCAATCTGTTTGTCTGCCACTAACAACATGCCCATATGGCTGTGGCTCAAACAAATGTACCAAAATGGCGCCTTGGCAACTGGAACCCAAGTCTGAAACCTGCGCATCCCTAGCTCTTTAGGTTTGAGCCACACCCATATCCCAACAGTCACTAGAGTCAAGGACCGGGGTCATTCCGCACATCGAGGTCGACGCCTGCAAGAGCTGCTTGGCCCTGAAACCAATGGAGCTTGGCACCTGGCGGCATGTGAGGCCCTGGGATAGGTCATCTCGCTGGGTGGTAAAAGAGATATATGGCTGTGGGTCAAGAATAGGTACCAAAAATGGAAGCCTGGTAAATGGAAACATACACTAAAATCTGCAGTCCCCTGGTGGGTTGATTTTGGCCCATACCCATATAACCAATTCTTGCTCACTTGCGATCCGTCCAACCAAAGCCAGCCGGGTAAGTGGAAGAAATGAGCCAACCGATTGCCACTTTCCCCAACCGCTCTCATAAAACTCAATGACTGCCACGGAATTCAGCTCGAGGGTTTCAGGAATTCGTCGCAGAAAGGTTTAGAGGCCATGCGAAGACCGCCACAGTTATGCGTTCTTCGTCCACGAACGGAGACTCGATCAACATTGGCAACCAAAAGGTGAGGTTTAAACCACCCAAAAACTATGCAGGGGGAAGAAGGGAGATCTAATTGGGACCCTGAAGCAAGGGTCTTATTCATCAATCCCCACTTCCACCATCCAACAGGCCAGGACCCCGACACATTGCAGCTATGCAGGTCAAGAAAGAGGCTTCAAAGTGAATCAGGGCAATTCAATTGGAGCGACTAGGCGGAGGTTTATATTTCACCGCAACATTCTCAATCTGCCCCAAAAAGCAAACTCCACCTAGAACTTGTAACACCTCTCTTTTGGGATCACCCGCGCGCGTCACCTCCTGTGGCCGGACAGAGCGATTCTGAGCACTCCAAAGAACATCTGAGAAATGTGAAAAGCTTTGCCGGAGGTCTGGGACCTGCAAGCTGTACAATGATTCCCAAAGAAGCAAATCCCCAAGTAGAGGACCTACGCCATTGTGGGCCCGTTTTACCCCCAGGGGTCATTTGGGCTTGTCTCAAAATGCCCTCAACATGGTTGCTGTCTTTTCGGCTTCCAACCAAAAAGGGGGGCTCCCCCAAGAAAAACACAGACCCATCCCCCGGCGAACGCGAAGTTGTCAATCCCAGGCGCAGCTCGGTCGACGTGTCGCGTGGCGCCGCGCGGCCGCGCAAGGTTGCCCGGCTCCTGGAACCGCTCGCTATGACGATCTTGTAGGCAAACTTTTTGGACAAATCGATGGGGCCCCTGGCAAATTTCGAATAAAACCAACCTAAACCGTCTATTTCAGAAGTAAACTAACCTAAAAGGGCACCTGTGCCAAACTTAGGCATCTCTCAAGGTGAAAAGGTGAAAACACCTTGGTGTTCAACTTGTGGTTTCCTTAGGCCAGCCAAAAAGGGGTTTCCTGTTTTGAGACAGACCCACTTGGGTACGTGTGAAAATAGGGGATGGCTTTCCTTTTGGATGTGATTCAACGGGTGATTCTGGATATGTATCAAATAGGGATTCGGACCCCCAAATGGCGGTGTTCTTTTTTTCGGCTCCCGTTGAGCGACCTTAACCAGGCCATTTCTTCTTATCTTTGTGCATACCCCGAAATCACATACCCCAAAAAAGGTGACTATAATATAGTGGTTACATAGGAGTTACACAACGTTGCAAAGACAGCGTGCCCCCTTTTCGCTTGCACCTGCGTTTCTTGGCACCGGATTTCCCTTTTCACCACCCCTCCCCGCCCCTGACTACCCCCAAAACTCTCCCGAAATCACCCGGCATCTCTCCCCCGAATTCCCCACCACCACCCCCCCCTTCCCCAATCCAACCCCCAAGAAACTACCCCAAGACCCAGAACCCCCCCCCCGCCAACCTCAAAAAGGACCCCCAGAACAAAGGACACACCCATAATCAACTATTTTGGGGTATGTACTTTTTCCCTAACAGTATGCTGTGTTTTCCCGGCCCGGGACAAATTGAAGAAACTTGGGGTATGTACTCTTCGGCCACGGTGGGCGTTTTTCCGGGGTTCCCCAGCACCGGTCTGAAAATGAGAAATCCGGGGCATCACCTCGCCGTTTCCGCCCACACTGCTTTTGCTTTCCCGGGGCTGAACACAAAGGCGAACAGTGAAAGTGGCAAGCACACATCCCTACCCCGAGAAGGTGTTTCTATTTTTTGGGGGTATTTACTTTTTGGGTATGTACTTGCACCATTGACACAGTCAACTTACCCTGGGAGAAAAGCAACAGGGAGAAAATAGATGGCACCATTCCTTTTATGTCACCAAGTAAAGAGGATGATGAAACCTAAATGGCGGAGGCGAAGTGGACCGTATCAGACCCAACACCCACAAGCGCTTTGGACCTCACAAGGTTTTGGGTCCCTATATACGTACCATAAACCACCAGCCGCAAATAATGGTTGATTTATTTTGCAAGCTGCCAGGAGCCACAGAAAAGAAACATGGCTTTGTTGGTCATGCCCAACTTCTTGCGGAAAGACGATTGAACACCGATTGTAAAAAAAAGGATGTTGGATTGAATTGTCAAAGGCGAGCAGTGCCCTATGTTTGAACACCTATGTTGGCGCTGTCCACCGTTCGTTGAAGTCTCGCAGACCACCCCCCCGAAACGAGTGTGTTCCCCCTGGGCTGCTCTCCACAGCGTCCTGCAGACTGAGCTCTTGAATGCGGCCCAGCGCCGCAGAGGTCGTGGCGTCGGCCTGGATGTTCCGGGCTTTCGCCGTGTGACCCGTGGATGCTCCCTATGTTTCCGTACAAAAAAAGGCATCCCGCCAAGAGGAAACTCATCTGAAAGTGGCCAAGGTGATATCTAAATAGGAGAAACCTGAAATATGGGGACTCCTGTTGAATGGATTCTAACAAACAAACGGGTTCCTTTCGGATGCCGCACGCACATGATGCTTGGAAGCGATCCGTTTATTGGAGACTTGAGTTACATGCAGTTGAAGTCATGGGTCCTCAGGACAAATCGTGTTGCAGCTTCAGCCACCAACCCAAGAACCCGAACCCCGACCGCGCCACACCTACAATCATTGCAGGACTTACCACAGCGGTTGCCGCAATGCTAATAAGCACCGCCAGCAGATTACAAACAGTAAAGGTCAAACATTATGGCAATATGATGTTGCAAAAGGGACTGATTTGGGCCACACCTCTCTCTACATAGGCGCAAATCTCCTCAACCATTTGTGCACTTTTATTAAACGAACACAGCAACTTGAATTACAAGATCCCCACAAAAGCGAGCCCATAGGCGGAAGCACTGTTGTCTTGAATTACAAGATCCCCACAAAAGCGAGCCCATAGGCGGAAGCACTGTTGTATTCGTCGAATCGGTGAGCTCGCGAACTAATCTGTACAAAGATGTTCCACATTCTGGGTCCACCAAAGTGACAACCTCAGAATGAACCTCTGCACGGTGGTTTAAGGGGAAGCCACCCCAGAATTATTTCAAGAATCTCTCAAACTGATTGACATTCTCGCTTGAGAGCATGGTGGCTGTTCGAAGGGGATTTCAAAACCCCGAATGCAACCACTTTCACAGGGCCAAACATCACGGAGAGCTCCACACTGACGTGTGCAGAGGGCTCCTCGCGGGGGTGTGCTTGATCAAAAGGCAAACCGCCCATGTGAGGGGGTTTCCGGGTCGTAAAAGGTACCCCCCCCTCTCCCCCCCCCTCCGGAAACAAGAAACAAAAACCACGCTCCGAAATGCACTCGGACCACCATGTTTGAGGCTCCCGGCCCCAGCATCGTCCATCACGCCTCAGTGGACTTCCCTTCAATTCATTTGTGCCTCCCCCCCCCCAGCCCCCCCCCCAGCCACTTCCCGCCCAAAACAAAAGCCATCGCCCCTCCCCCCTGCCCCCCAGCTACTTCCCGCCCGAACAAAAAAACCTCTCCCTTTCTTATTCGGTCCTTTCGACGGCCGAGGTGCTAAACTTGGCGCTGCCTCACGCGGCGATGGCCGGCTCCTCCGAGTGGAGCTCCGGCAAACCTCGAGAGATCCACTGAAAACCATGGACCAACCGCACAAAACCACTGAAAGCGACCAGTAAAACTAATCATCAACTAAGCCAACCATGAGCATGATGGAAAACACAAAAACAATGGCACATCAGTCCAATGGCCAAACCCACACCAAACCCACCTACGAACCTAACCGATCCATGGCCCCTCCCAGGCCACGCCTCCCGCGGGCTGCGTCCCGCGCTCTGAGGCCGCGGCGCTTCAGCGCCTGATCCGTCAGAGCCCTCGACGGCGCCAGGCCACGGAGCGCCGCCTTTGTGGGAGCCCGGGACCTGGCCATGGCGTGAACCCGACCTGGACATGGTATCCCTTTGAAAGGACCTTGGGGTCCAAACCAGAACTTACCCCAAATGTCAGGTCCCATGTGAAAAGGGTGGGAGGGTATCTGCTTCAGGCTCTCTCTCTCTATGTCTCTCTCTTCTTCTGTCTCTCTTGTGAGTACTAAACAGTCATCGCTTCTTCTAAAGTTGATCACACGCTAACGTCAACCATTGCAACTATAGACTGATGATTGGTGTTAGTGAGTGCATGCATTCTGGGCTGTTCAAAATGGGAATTCCTAATCTGTAAGCCGTAGCGAAACAGTACGAAAAGGGAATCCACTAAGAAACTACCATGTGGCACAAGGATATTGAACCCAGTGCCTCCAGCTACCTCTATAGACTAAAAAGGGGATCGAGAAAACATCATGCAAAGACCGCAGGCAAACAGACTATGTGCCTTGGCCGCACAAAACACTATACCGCACAACACAACACAAACGACACAAACAAGCAACACCAGCAACAAAAGCAGCACAAACAGAACACAGACAGAGACGACACTTTTTTTGTTAAGCAAAAAAGAACAACAGCCAGCATCACCATCACCATCATCACCATCATCACCATCATCACCATCATCACCATCATCACCATCATGATCATCATGATCATCATGATCATCATGATCATCATCAGCATCATCGGCATCATCATCATCATCATCATCACCATCATCATCATCATCATCATCATCATCATCATCATCAGCAGCATCAGCATCAGCATCAGCATCAGCATCAGCATCAGCATCAGCATCAGCATCATCATCATCATCATCATCATCATCATCATCATCATCATCATCAACAACAGCAACAACAACGATATGAACACGCACAATCTTCAACATGCATCATATTTACATGTGAGTACCACCTTTTGCTGCATGATGTAGAACCGGACCCAAGCCAACCAGTGCGTCTCTGGTTGAAGTCGCTGTCCCTAAGTAGGCTGCAGGGTAAACTTCGAGGGTTGTTCATCCAGGCCAGAAACAAGTCCTGCGATGTGTCTACCACCAGGGGCAAAAAGTGCCGGAGATGTGGGGCTGAGGAACAAATCTGGGCACATCACTGAGACCCAAATTGAAAAATACGGGACCCCTCCCCCACAGAAGCGGCGAGCTCGTTCACCCACGACGCGAATCGGTGAGCTGCTGAACCCAATTGACCAAATAGATCAACTTGCTTAGGCCTCAAGAAAGCGTTCGGGTCAAGGATGCTCGTGCCAGATTCTAAGCTAGCAAGTAGTCGGCTTGCATACTCTGAATGGCTGGGGTTCCTTTTCCCGGAGATTGCTTAATTCTGCTTAGTGGCTATTATTCTGTCGTGTAAGTCCAAAATAGTGCATGTTCTGCTTCTGATTCATATTCAATGTGCCCGCCCATACGATGGACACTCGGGCAACCAGCTTGAGGGCCTTGGGTTCTTAGGGTTCTTGGCCGCTAAGTCAGCAAGTCTCCTTGGCACCCCCCGCCCATCACCACCACCCCCCTCCTTCCACCACCTTCCCCAACAAACCCCACCTCCCAACCAACCCCACCTCCCAACCAACCCCACCTCCCAACCAACCCCACCACCCAACCAACCCCACCTCCCAACCAACCCACCCTCCCTCCCCACCTCCGCCCCACCTACCCCTCCCACCTCCCCCCCCCCCCACCCGCTGCGTCGCCTGTTCGCCGGCTGCTGCGCCTCAAACTCCGCCAGGCGCTTGGCCGCCGCCGCCGCGGGCGCCGCGGACGCCGCCGTCCTCGGCAGCTCCGGGGCCGCGGAGGGCCGCGCCTGGCGCTTTGGCGTCCCCCGTCGCTTTCATGCCAGCTTCCCATTGGTTTGGCTTGGTGGTCTCGGGGACAAAAAGCAGGGGTTCAAATCCCAAACCAATCCAAACCACGAATTGAGGGTCGGTCCCCTGGAAAAACCAAACATATGTCCAGTGGTGATAGATTCCCTCTAAACCCAAGAGGGGAAAACACAACATACTCTTCAGCAAATGGAAGTTCAGCTTCCCAAAGCAACCCCAAAAAGGGTGGCTCCCTTCCAACACGAAAAGAGTACCAGCAAAACAAAACACTCCAGAAAGAGGCCTGCGAGTTTCTCATAATATGTTTGGACTTTCGAGGATCTCAGGCTTCTGGTTTGTGCTGAGTAGCCCTTGAAGAAAACAGCAACAGTGAAGCAAAGCGCAAACGGTACTGCTTGGTTCAGGTTGACATGGGTGTTTATCAACATAGGGCACCCCTAAAAGGCACCGGTTCGCTTTAGTTTAAACACAATTCATAAGGGGGTCCACCATTTTGAGAAACACTGCAGTGGCAAGCCTTCCCCTCATTTGGCAAAGGCTCCCCTAATGAAGATGGCTTCCCAGCGGAAAATATATGTTGCTTTGCTTTTTGTTTGGTGGGGGTTGATTTTATTGGGGAAAGGAACTGTGTCTCAAAATGAAAAACCGCAGGCCTCTGCCCAATCAGCTGGCCCCAATTTGGTGGCTGTTCAGTGGTGGTTTGGGTGATTCTCCTTTTGCTAAGCAACGCAGGAACCAAGAAGCTTCCCAAAATCCAACATGCAACTTTGCTTGGTTTCCTAGCAATTGGGTTCAGGTCATGTAAGGGCCTAGTGAATTATTAATAGTCTCCTATACTCATGCCTGCCACAAGTTGGATTGAAAGCGGCCCCAAACCAATATTCTAAGTATTCAGGCCTTAGTGTTACTCCCCTGCAGATTGATATGGGCCCAAACAGGTGGGGCCCCCACACGGAGATTCCTCTGGATCGCTTCCTTTCAGGTCCTTCCCACAGTGGGTCGTCCCCGCGATTGAGCTTGCCAATTCGGATCAGGTCCGAACCCGGGAACACTTTGACACCAGGGCTCCACATGCACTTCCTCTTCCAAACTGGCTTCAAACTTGGCTCGAGGTAACAAACAGAGGTAACAGCAAACGAAAACAACAACAAATCAAACCAGAAAAGAGCAAACATCTCACCAATAACCAGGGATCAAACCCGTGGCACCCAAACAAGGCCTTGCTCCGCGGCCTAAAACCCGAGCCGAGGCGCCAAGTTGGCGGTGCCCTGTGTGCTCAACTCTCCACTCAGCACGATGGCCTGGCCAAGCTCAGCACAAGCCGCGTGAAGCTGGCTAAAGGTTCGGGAATCAACTTGCTTGTTCTTGATATCACTTCGGAGTTTTATCAGATGACTCTTTAATTATCAACTAGTGGGCTCTTGTAGATGGTTGGGTACATTTACCAGGTCCGACAACTGCTGAGCAACAACGTGAATGCAGGCTTCTAGATGAAGCATTCAACCATTGACATAGAGAGCCCAGATTGATAAGCGACAATCCCCAATCATCCGAAATACGCCCCAATCCCAAAATCGCCCAATCCCGCATTCACATAATCCAAAAAACAACGCGAATCCCCAACAAACCACAATCATCCGCAAGAAATATCCAAGAACTCCCCAAGAATGCCTCAAAAAAATCTCCAACCAATCCCCAACCACAATCCCCCAAGAATTCCCCAAGAACTCCCCAAGAACTCCCCAAGAACTCCCCAAGAACTCCCCAAAAATCCCAAACAAAATTCCGCAATCGTCATCAATCCACCCTTTTGGGTCTGGGTCAAAATTCAACCACCAAAAAAAGGCCTGTTTTAGTCATGGGTTCCATTTCCCAGGCTTCCATTTTGGGCACCCTTTTTTGACCCACAGCCTTTTCCAGCTCCACGCCTGTTTCGCCGCTGCCGCCATCAGCGGCTTCCCGTCCGCCCGCGCGGTGCCGAATCCCCGCGCCGCGGTGGCTGCGTCCCGCTCGTTGGGCTCCGAGACCGCCTCGCCGGAGCTTTGGGCAGACAGCAAACGAAACAACAAACAACAAGTCAAAACAGAAGAAAAAAAACAGACATCTCGCCAAAAACCAGGGATCAAACCCGAGGGACCGAAACAAGGACCCAAAGAAGCCAGCGAAAAGGGACCTCCAAAGCCACTGAAAAGGAAGCTTTCTGGTTGTCGCTAAAATTTAGGAAATGGCCCGGGGGGGGGGGGGGTTGCAGGACTGGTCCTGTGCTTTTTAGGCAAAATAGGGGTTTACCATGTGTGAACAGGGGGTAGCACATCTTTAAACTACTGTTGTTTATTTGTCGTGTACGGCTCGTTCAAGCATGTTTTGAATAGCCCCTATTTGCAGCCCAAATCTTGCTTACACCACACACAATACGTCCAGATTATCAACGTGGAATGTGAACTGTGACTAGGAACCCTTTGTGGCCATTATTTTCTTGGGAATACCGCGGATGGACGAAATCCTAGCACCGCCTAAGAAGCCCTGGAATGACGATTCTAATGTAAATACCAACAATGGTTCCCCATGGTTTGAAAGTGGCGCATAATTTCGTCCATCCTCAGTATCTGTCCACAAACCAAGGCTGGGGAGTTTTGGGTATTCATGGCCACAAGCTGCCTGTGCGATGGCCGCGGCGAGTGCTTTCAGCGCCGGAGCGTTGCAAAGCAGCGTCTTGCCGCGGCGCCGCGCGGCGCCCGCGAGTTGCTGCGGGGATGGCTCCGGCAGGCGGGCGCAGCTTTCCGTCGCAAGCGCCTGGCAGTTGGGAAGCGGGATGCAGAAATGAGAGTTGACATTATTAGCATGGGGTACTTGAAAACAATAGTTAGTACTGATTACTGATTATAGGGGCAATTATTTAGCCCCTTATACTTGTGAATCATAGAGCCAGCCACAGGAATTATCTTCAGGAAGTTTGTCACCCACCAAAAGCAAGGAGGTCCTGCAGAATTTCCTGTAGCTGGGTTAGCGTGAAGCATTCAGGAGGAAGTATCCAAGAAGTAATGAGTAGCAACTGCTACAAATGCTACAAGTGAGCCGCAATCAAAGCCTGGTACTGAAATGGTCTACCCAGAACCATGTACAGGATTAAGAAGGCGGCCGCAGCTATTTATGGCTGGGATCGTCCCTTACTAACCTTCATCTACCCGGGTTTTGATTGTGGCTCAAGTGATGTACCACAACACGATTCTTGCAGAAAATGCCGGCTGAAGCGTGCGGTGAGAGTGGACAATTTGCCAAACTAATGGTAGGGTGGTTGGAAGCAAATGGGTGTGCAGTGGCAGCTGGGAAGTGGAATGTGCACTTTGGTGCACTTCAATTGCTTAGAAAGTCAGGAGCAGCCAACGAACAACTGGAGTGTTGGAATGATTAAAGATATGCTGGCTGAAGAAATTGACTCGAGCATTCAACGCACATTACAGTCCCTGGCTTCCCTGCACAACATAATCTTCGGAGAAAAGAACAAGCCAGGTTGGTTGCCAGTTGTGCTTACACAACCATGCCCTGGTCCAGTTTCTTTGAAGGGAAACCAAAAGGCTGAGGTTTAAACAATAGCTAGCCCAAACCCCGCACTGCCATGGGAGACAAGGGCATCTTTGGCTTCTGGTAGTTGCTTTTAAAGGCCCTCAAAGAAAAGTTGCAAAGTGAATGACACCTAGAGGTCTGGGTAGGTGCAACGGTCTGCATGCCCAGTCCGACCAGGCGCGAGTCGCCCGTCGCCTCCTGCAGAGGCTCCAAAGCGGCGAAGGCCCATGCCGTCTGAGTGACTTCGAAGGTGCTCGCCTGACAGCTCGACGCAAAATTCCTGTTGGGACACGCCAAAACAAATAGGGCAGCTTAAATGAGAGGCGTGTTCTAAGTGGGGGAGGGGGGGCGCGGCGGATTTTTGACACACCTAACCTCTAACCTACTCTAACCCTAACCTCTAACCTCTAACCCTAACCTCTGACCCTAACCTCTAACCCTAACCTCTAACCCTAACCTCTAACTCTAACCTCTAACTCTCACCTCCAACCTCTAACCCTAACCTCTAACCCCTAACCCTGACCTCTAACTAACCTCTAACCCTCTAACCCTAACCTCTAACCCTAACCTCTAACCCTAACCTCTAACCCTAACCTCTAACCCTAACCTCTAACCCTAACCTCTAACCCTAACTAACCTCTAACCCTAACCTCTAACCCTAACCTCTAACCTTAACCTCTAACCGTGAGGATGGATGATGATGATGATGAAAGACTACGGGAAGATGACGGAAGACTACGGGAAGATGACGGGAAGCTGACAGAAGACTACGGGAAGATGACGGAAGACTGCGGGAAGACAACGTGAAGATGACGGAAAGACTACGGGAAGCTGGCTTACGGGAAGATGACGGAAGACTACGGGAAGATGACGGACGGAAGACAAGGAGAAGATGACGGAAGACTACGGGAAGCTGCCGGGACGGTGACGGAAGAGTGTGGGAGTGTGGGAAGATGACGAAAGACTACACGAAGATGACGGGAGAAGATGACGGAAGCTGCCGGAAGACTACGGGAAGATGACGGAAGAGTGCGGGAAGATGACGTGAAGCTGACGGAAGACTGCGGGAAGATGACGGAAGACTACGGGAAGATGACGGAAGACTACGGGAAGATGATACGGGAAGATGACGGGAAGCTGACAGAAGATGACGGAAGCTGCCGGAAGACTACGGGAAGAGGACGGAAGAGTGCGGGAAGATGACGTGAAGCTGACGGAAGACTGCGGGAAGATGACGGAAGACTACGGGAAGATGACGGAAGACTACGGGAAGATGATACGGGAAGATGACGGGAAGCTGACAGAAGACTGCGGGAAGATGACGGACTACGGAAGACTACGGGAAGATGACGGAAGACTACACGAAGATGACGGAGGACTACGGGAAGATGACGATGATGATGATGATGCTGATGATGCTGCTGAGGATGATGAAGATGATGATGATTATGATGATGGTGCTGATGATGACGATGATGATGATGATGATGGTGATGCGATGATGATGATGATGATGATGATGATGATGATGGTGATGGTGACGATGATGATGATGATCAGGAGGATGATGAGGATGATGATCTGCAAGCTGATGAGGATGAGGATGACGATGGTGCTGATGCTGGATGATGAGGCTGAGGATGATGATGCTACTGAGGCTGAGGATGATGATGATAATGAGGATGATGATGGATGATGATGACGACATGATGCATCGTCCTCATTCATAAGCATCAGCAGCATCATCGTCATCCTTTCCCTTCCTATTTATCTTCATTTCCTCATCATCATTATCATCAGCGGCGCCATCATCGGCCTCGCCATCCAGCATCATCATCAGCCTCATCATCCCCGCATGAAGCCAGACGTTGGAGAAAATCCGGCCCTTGTCGCTCAGAAACCCAGCTCTTCTCCGTCCCACGGACACCTGCAGGATGATGCCGGTGAAGCGGGGGATGCAAAAACTGCATTTTTCCACGACATTTGAAGACCAAAAAGGCGGTTCCTGCATCCCCAGCATGCCAGGCATCACCCCGAACACCTGCAGGATGATGCTGGTGAAGCAAAAGCTGCCTTTTTTGCCGACATTTGAAGACCAAAAAGGCAGCTCCTGCATCCCCAGCATGCAAGGCATCACCCTGGGCACCTGCAAGATGATGCTGGTGGCAAAAGCTGCCTTTTTCTACAACGATGGAAGACCAAAAAGGCAGCCCCCGCATCCCCACCTGCTGAGAGACGGAGAAGGGCCAGAGTTTCTCCAACGTGTGTGATGCTGTTACGGGGGTCAGCGGCATCAGGCGTCAGCCTGCTAAATCCGGCCACCGGACGTGATCGGGCCGCAGGCCAAAGCCCGTTAGGGCTTACCTTCAGGTATAAGGCCGACGCGCCCCATGCCGCCGACCATGCGGGTACGTTGCGGGTACGTTTTGGGCTGGGCCTTCCTTATAAGGGGCGAAGGATTCGCGGATTGGTTTAGGCGATTTTTGTAGCATCTCCCCGCAGCGCCTAAAAACGAGCATTTTTAGGGGGTGCCTAATACTGGGCAACACCCCCAGCATTGCCAGCATCATCCCGGATGATGCGGATGATGTTATGCATGCTGGCGATGCGGGTGATGCTGGGGATGTTGTCCCCTAAGTCGGGCCAATTTTGCTGAAAACGTGCAACCTGAAAATCTTAAAATCTAAAGTGGATGGAAATGGATGGAAAATGGCCTGGATTGAAATCTCAAAATCCTAAAGTCTTAGATTCTTAAAATCTTAAATTAAAATCTAACCATCAATCTTAGAATCTCAAGATCTTAAAATCTTAGAACTTAGAATCTTAAAATCTAGAAATATAAAAACTTCCTAAAGTCTTCGAATCTTGAAATCTTAAAAACCTTATGTCTTAGAATCTTGAGATCTTAAACTCTTAAAATATGAAATCTTAGAACCTTAATTCTTAAACCATTGAAACCTTAAATTCCGAAAGTCTTCAAATCTGAGACCCTTAGAATCTCAAAGTTTTTAGAATTTTAAATCTTAACATCTACTCATCGGACTTACAGGAAAGGGAAGTGACAGAAACCCTCATGTCTTTGAATCTTCAGATGTTAAAATCTTAAAATATGAAATTCCTAAATTCTCAAAATCTTAAAATCTCAGAATCTTAAAAGCTTCAAAAACTTAAATTCTTTAAATCTCGAACTATTGCAGTCTGAAAATCTTAAATTCATAAACAAGTAAAATATAATAAAATTCCTTCAATACGGGCTATATTATTCTAAATTCCTTAAACTTCAAATTTTGAAGTCTTGACATCTTAAGATCTTAAAATCTTAAATTCCGAAAGTCGCCAAATCTGAAAATCTCACAAAAAATAAATCTTAAAGCCTTCGAAATCTGATAATGGATGGTAAATGGCTGGGCAATGGCCTGGCTGTTATAACCTTCAAAAGCCTTAAATCTTCGAATCTTAAAACCTTAATTCTTCAACCATTGAAACCTTAAATTCCGAAAGTCTTCAAATCTGAGACCCTTAGAATCTCAAAGTTTTTAGAATTTGAAATCTTAACATCTACTCATCGGACTTACAGGAAAGGGAAGTGACAGAAACCCTCATGTCTTTGAATCTTCAGATGTTAAAATCTTAAAATATGAAACTCCTAAATTCTCAAAATCTTAAAATCTCAGAATCTTAAAAGCTTCAAAAACTTAAATTCTTTAAATCTCGAACTATTGCAGTCTGAAAATCTTAAATTCATAAACAAGTAAAATATAATAAAATTCCTTCAATACGGGCTATATTATTCTAAATTCCTTAAACTCTTAATCTTCAAATTTTGAAGTCTTGACATCTTAAGATCTTAAAATCTTAAATTCCGAAAGTCGCCAAATCTGAAAATCTCATAAAAAATCAAATCTTAAAGCCTTCGAAATCTGATAATGGATGGTAAATGGCTGGGCAATGGCCTGGCTGTTATAACTTCAAAAGCCTTAAATCTTCGAATCTTAAAACCTTAATTCTTCAACCATTGAAACCTTCAATTCCGAAAGTCTTCAAATCTGAGACCCTTAGAATCTCAAAGTTTTTAGAATTTGGAAATCTTAACATCTACTCATCGGACTTACAGGAAAGGGAAGTGACAGAAACCCTCATGTCTTTGAATCTTCAGATGTTAAAATCTTACAATATGAAACTCCTAAATTCTCAAAATCTTAAAATCTCAGAATCTTAAAAGCTTCAAA